AGACTTACTAATATACTAGCTACTTTTTAATCCTATATTAATAAAGCTATATATAGAATCTTAGATATTTTCTATATAATTTACCTAGATAATATCCTCCTCTTCTTAGAATTAGAAGAGGAATATATTAACTATATTAATTAAATATTATATTAACTATATATTTATAACCTATATATTAAGCTATTTAAGTATAAATTCTATAAATTAGAGCTAAAATTCTTTAGCTTTATTATAGGCTAAGATAGCTTTAAAATAGACCTAGCTTATATTAATACTATTAAGAAATAGCCTAAACTATAAATATTCTATAACCTATAAGTCTTCTTAGGGTTTATAGGATACTTTTATTAATTTATAGACTAATATTTTAACCTAATAGTACCCCTTACTAATCTTACCTAAGAAATAAAGAAGGAGAAGCTAATATAAGCTTTTATATTAATACTTATTATAAGAAAGATATTTAATAAGCTTAAAGAAGCCTTTATAGATCTACTTATTCTAACTTATTTTAATTTAAAATAGAAACTATATCTAGTAACTAATATATCTAGATTTATAATTATTATAATTTTATTATAATTAGAAGATACTAAAGGGGAACTTAAGATAAAAATAAGTATATAATATCTTATAGCTTTTTACTCTTAAAAGCTAAATAATATTAAATAATAATATAATACCTATAATTAGGAGCTCCTAGCTATTATTAAGATATTTAAGACTTAATATTACTACCTTAAAGGCTCTAAGTATCTTATATAGGTATAGACTAATTATACTAATTTAAGATACTTCTTTATTATAAAGATATTAACTATATACTAGGTATATTAGATAGAATTATTAGCTTTATATAACTTCTATATTAAATATAAGCTAAAGAAGATAAACCTAGTAGATGCTTTATTATACTATTAAGACTATAAGCTAACCTTTAGAGAAAAGGATATTAGTATATTATTAATATTATAATATAAGCTATAGCTTAATTTATAATAAATATACCTATAAGGGGGTAAGAGTATTCTCTAGGGGATATAGATATAAAGACTAGAGTACCTAAGACTCCTAATATTAAGAATATTAATTAAGAAAGTAGCTAATTATAAGAATTCTTTAAATAAATTAATAACTAACCTTAAGTAGCTTCTTATAGAGTTATAGTAGAGAGATACCTTTATATAGTTAACTCTATAATCTTTTAAGGTATTTAGTATAGTATAAGTAACTTATAAAAAGAGATAAAGTATAAAAGATAAAGACCTCCTCTATAAGTATAAATCTATTATTATACTCCTTAATTTAGTAGTTAAGTAGAAACTTCTATAACTCCACTATAATAACCCCTTTATAAAGTATTTAAGAGTATAGAAAATACTTAAATTAATTAGCTAGAAGTACTATTAATTAATCTTATATTATAATATTAAAGAGTATATATAAATATATTATATATATTAAGTTATAAAGATACTTAGAACTAAGTCAGCTAGATAATTATCTTTATTATTAGTGGCTAGAAGGCTATAGTAGAGTATCTCTATAGATTTTATTATAAGGCTTCCCCTATTAAAGAATAAGATTAATAACTATATATATAATATTATTCTAGTTATTATTAATAGATATACTAAATACTCCCTATATATTCTAGCTAAGGGTATAATAAATATAGAGAAATTAGTAGATCTTATATTTAATTAAATTATTATAACCTATAGAGCACCTTTCTTTATTATATTAGACTAAGGATCCCTTTTTACTAGTTACTATTAGACTATATTTTATAATATTATAAGGACTAGATGTCTACTAAGTATAGCCTTTTACTTATAGACTAATAACTAGATAAAATAATAGAACTAAGTCTTAAAAGAATATCTTTATATCTTTAGAGATTACTAATAAAATAACTAGAGCTCTTTATTATTTATAGCAGCTTTTACTTATAATAACTCTAAATATACCTCTACTAATATTACTCTAATATATATACTATATAGATATTATATAGAGATACTAAGCAGCCTATTTAAGAGAGAGATTTAGCTTAAGTTAATTAAAGAATAATTAGTAACTATAATAATTATTAAATAGTTATTAAAGACTTACCTAAAAAAAGTATAAAAGTCTTAAATAAAATATTATAATTAGAAGTAATAACCTATATACTATATAATAGATTAAAAGATATTTATTACTAGTATTAATATTAAGTCCTTATAACCTTCTAAAAAGCTTAATAATTATTACTTAGGGCCCTTTTTTATTATAGAGGTAATAAGTAAGTAGGTATACTACCTATATTTATTTAAGACTTATAGAAGGATTTACTCTATCTTTTATATATTTAAGCTAAAGTTATATTATTAATATAATAGTTATAATAAGCCTCTACTATAGTTAATTAAAGTAGAAGGTAAGAAGGAGTAAGAAGTAGATAAAATCTTAAACTATTAAATTAATAAGAATAAAGAGATATAATACTTAATTATATAGAAAAGATACTTATTATATAAGATATCCTAATAGTCTAGAGAGGACCTAAAGAATACTTAAAAGATATTAAAAGACTTCTTAAAAAAGAACTCTTTTTTAAAGTCTATACCCTAATAAGGGCGTCCTAAATAAACCTAAAGTTTTTTCCTATTAGGTTTTCTTTAGGTATTATAGATACTAAGGGAATAAGAACTTATCTACTTATTAGTATAAATCTTCCTCTTTTTTCTTATAGATTTAAAGGTTTATTAATAATATCTTAAGAAAATTATTTATAATTAAAAAAAATTACTATTATAAGTATAATTATTATTTATATTAAGAAAATATTAAGCCTATATTCTCTTAGCCTATAACTTACTATTTAATAGATTCTTTACCTCTATTATAATTATTATAAGCTCTTAAACCACTACTATAATATTCTATAAAGTAACTAGAAGTAGCTAAAATATAGATATTAATATTACTAAAATAAAAGCTACTAAAGTTATATTAATAATAAAGAGTTAACTTATTACTACTACTAATTAAAGTTAATACTAATAAGTATCTATATTAGCCTTCTAAGTATAGATATTTAACTAAAAAGTAACTATTATAGCTATATTTAAAATATTAAGAGTAGTAGAGACTCTATAAAGATATTATGCTTTTTAGTTAAAGATATTGCCTTAGATATAGTTTACTATATAAATAGTATTATCTATAGTATAATAAAGATACTAAATACTTATTAATATAGAATAGATATACTAGATAGAGTACTCTATATTTATAGTATTAATATAGTATATATATTAGAGCTAATTAAAAGTATTAAATATACCTCCTTAAATAAGGGTAGCTATATATATATTTATATCTTAGGTAGCCTTTATAATCTTAAACTTAACTAGCTTTAGGCTAGAGGTAAAATAGCTACTATAAATAAACTTAAATAAGTTATTAAAAAGCTAGGTATAATAAGTAGAGGGCGCCTTCTTAAAAATTTTATTATTAAGAAGAGTAGCCTCCTATATTAAATAAGCTAAAGAGATATTATTTATCTCCTTTAAGTTATTACTAAATAGATATAATATTAAAGTTAAGGAAATAGAATAAGGGGTAAAATAAGATATTATCTTCTTATTATTAGTAGCCACTATATACTAAAACTATTAGAAAATAATAGATTAATAGAAAGTAGATATTTATTTTATAGGTTATTATTATATACTACTAAGAGATTAGTAAAATAAGGGAATAGTTATTAAGATAACTTATTAAGATATAGATAAGAAGGAATTAAACCTGCGCCACCTAATTAGCTCTTAATATCTTATTATTATTAAGAAAAAGGGGCTATATATACTAAGAGACCTTATTAAGAAGCTAAGAAATAAGAATTAAATTATATAAGGTAATAATATTTATACTTTAATAATTAATAAATATAGACTCTATTTTATTTACTTAACCCTTAGAAATACCCCTCTCTTAATATATTTAACTCTTACTTATACCCTTTATTTTTTTATTAATAAACTCTTATATTTAATGCTATATTTATATAATATTTAATTAAAGTCTACTTATAAAAATAGCTATTTTTTATTTACTTTTATAATAGCTTAGGGCTAAGCCTCTTAAAGAGGGGGAATAATTATAAGACTAGTACTAATACTACTCTATAAGTTATCTAACTAAATATACTATATAACTATTAGTTAATATTAGGTATTAGTTAGGCACTTATTAAGTATCTTACTTAAAGTTAAGATATATACTATCCCCCCTAGATAAAATAGAACCTTAAGCACTTTATCTTATTCTCTTATTAGATTTATTATAGACTCTTTATATCCCTAGACCTTATTGTTATCCAGTTGTGCCGACATCTTGCCTATCCACCCCTAGTAGTGTAAGGTCACTGCTTACAGTTGGGTTCTCTAGGTCAGGTATAGCCAGTCTAATAGATTTAATAAATCTTAATAGCTTATATATCTATAAATAGCTTTATAAAGATATTAATAAGCCTATAATATTCAAGATTTATTAAAATACTTAATATAGAGGATATTAAGATAATAAAGATAATAATAGAGTTAAAATAATACTAGAGAGATATATTATAGAAAAGGATAATCTTAAGGCTACTAATTAGGATAATTTATATATATTTATACTATTATTTAATTAGCTAAATCTAATATAGTTAGTATTATACTCTAATTTTTATTTACTTAATATATCTGGCCTGACTGACGTCAGATATGCTGGAGAGTATATGAATCATATAGGAATATGATACTATTGGCCCTAAATACATATAGGATTTGTTAAAGTTATATACTATTCTTAAATACTACATCAAACACGAACAAAACACTCGGTTATGTCCTGCGGGCGCTGCAGCTCCTTTTCGCAATCCTCATCAGGGGCGCAGACGGCTATGGTCAAAACTATATGTCGACAGTTAATATATTTCTCATCACTAAGCCGCAGCCATCCATATGTTCCACAGCCACACCATCCACGTAAAATTCAACTACGGCAATCTCTCCGCGTACGAAGGCGTCTCCGATGCATGGGGCTTTCTCTGTTTTGCGCCGGGTGGACCGTTCTCGCTTGCGCAAATCAGTCTGATCAATTGTGTGTGCATCAGTTCTACGCACGCCGCGGTGAAGATGGTGGCTGTCCTTTCGCGGCTGGCGGGCTTTATTGCCGTGGCTATGCAAATTGCACCCGACACTTGTTCACAGGGAAAAGGGGACGTGTAGGTCGCCGATCGCGGCGACGGTGTTTAGAGGGCTCGAATGGTTGTTGTTCATAGTAACTGCTGTGGTGACGGCCATGCCAGTCTATAGATCTTACAGGGGTTCAGAGAAGGGGAGTCCAGCTGTTTGATGTGAAGATACTTTCTAACCATTCAACTACTCTGCTGTCTATTGAATAAGTGTCTATTTGAAATACCTTATAATTGATATATAGTAGTTAGGTTGAATATTTAAAGTCTTGTAGCGCTTAAGCTGTATTTTTGACAGTTTAATGTGGCTACTGTCATAACACTATGCTGACTTAGGAGACAGCACATTTTAAAGGCTAGGCGCTTACTGCTGTCTACATCCTGCATGATCTAGTTCATTAGATATGACATCCATAAATCTATAACTAACATATCGTACAATAGTGTACAAATGTTGATCCAACTCCAGGAACAAACTCCAGGTTTATTCATTCTTGAGCTGTGGAACCTAAGAAGTTCTTGGTGCTCTCCGTATCCCCGCGGTTTGCCTCGACCCGGTAGCTATTGGTGACAACTATCCCGTGGTGCGTCTGATACACAGGCGGGTCTGAGGATTCCCCATGGTCATGTTCGGTTGAGCGGTTGATCTTATCCAGAGACGACAATGGATGCGATCCGGCGCGATCCGCTTTCCGACGGGCGCCGGAATGGGAACGAGGATATCGGTCCTCTTCGTCGGTGGGGGTCGAGGGAAACAACATGGGAAGGTGTGTGCGCACAAACGGTTTAAGGACGGCGAGACAGTTGCACATCACCCCAAAATTCAACTCGATGGCTCTGAACGGTCAGCTTGGGATCTTAAAATCATTGTCAAATATTATCTTATGAAATATTGAATATCATACGACCAGACACACACCGTGGCTTCTGACCAGGTGAAATCCGCCTTGTGCAAAATTTCCATGATATATGTGATCCGGATAATGCTGGTGACCACAGAACTAAGATTTTTGAGCACATTTTCCAGTCTGTCTGTCTGTCTGTGTGACTTACGTTGATCCAATGGCAAAAATCAAAGCCAAAGTCGCTTTCTGCATCACCGGCAAATGCAGCGTCCAAAGCATAGGAATGGGCAGGAAGAGCATCAGAAAATCAGTGGCAATATTCAAGATCGCCAACCACAGCGCCAGGCTGTTGATGCAGGGCGTCTGATCGGAATGTGTGGGGTTGCAACCTGCGGCTGTTGCGAATGTCGTGGCGAGGGTGTAACCGGTAATAATGAAGATGAGGGCATATATGCAATACCGAAATTTGGGGGTTGGGTTGAGTCGATGATACCTAAGGGGGTTTAGTCTAAACTCGGCCTTTTCTAACCAGCTTAAACCGAGCTATCACATACAGTAATAGGATAGAGAGCTTTGTGCAGAATGGCGTCCAGGTGTAGGTGATCACAATAGGTATTAAATACTAGAACATTAGCGGCAGATGGAATAGAATAGAAGAGGACAATAGAGCTACCTTTAAATATATTTCAAGAGAAGCAACAGACACATTCCAAAGATGTCTTCCAAATCCATACTTCATTGCTGGAATAAGACTAGTTGGTTTGTGGCTAGTATCTAGAGGGCAGAACATGACTCACATTCAACACATAGCCCAAAGAAACCAGCTGAAAATACCTGATTATATGAGTAATCACTATATAGATTATATAGGCAGTAGTAATCTCACTACAGAGCCCACCACAAAGTCTGTCAATAATATCAATTAGCAAGACCGCAATGACAATAATAATAATATGTGAGATATACAATCATCAAGTCCCACTGAGCGAACAACAAACACACGCGTATATAATCGTAGCAAGAGAAGAAAGCATGCCAGCCCAAATGTGATGGAATAGACTAGAATAAACTTCTCCTGCAGTGTCGTTCGGGTGAGGGAAAAGTCCGCGGTAACCCCCGCTGGGGGCGCCATGGCGCCAACAGTGGAGGTAGACGCCATCGTCAATATAAGCAGTGGCTTGAAGGAAAATTTAATAGAAATAGATTTAAGAAACTGCTTAAATAATAGACAGGAATCACTCAAGGTTAAATATGCCGAGTACGCAGTAGTATTTACAGAGGGAACGCATCGTTTTTGTTGACAGATAGTGGTTCCCTTGTGGGGAAGCAATGCCGATCGAAAGGTACGGAGTCCCGCGTAGTGCCAAAGCCATGGCAGTGGCTCACTATGAACCGATAATTACTCCATTCCTAGGAATTAATCTATCCCAGACAATCGACCATCAGAGACGGGTGCGCCAAGCCTGAAGTAGGTATTTAGGTACTTATGCTTCATACTAGTCAACTCACTAGCGAGTCACTAATTACGGGGCACAGAGTCCGCACTCACTAGGCTCTAGGCTAGTGCCGGGAAAACACGGCAAGTGTGGCCTATAATAAAATACCGGCTGTCAGGTAGCCACGCTAACTAGTTTAGCATGGATTGGCTGGGGGACAGGAATCACAGGCTATTTATTAGTTATCCCTCCCTGTCGACTGGATTTGTAACACAATGACCAGCTCAGGAGGGGCAGATACTCGCCCAATGGCCGACCTCCAGACCTCCCTCACTCCCACCATCCTGGCTACTGCCAGCGTCACCGGCGTCGCTCTCCATCTGTTCCTTTTCAAAAGAGTCGAGGTCGACAAACGGCCGGTGTCGACGGGCGCGTCGTTCATCGTCGCATATTTTCTCCTTGCCTTGGCCCTCCCCAGCCTGAGCGCAGAGTACAATGCCAACCTCCCATGGGCGCTGATTGTCGCGGGGCTCGCGTGGTGGTGCCTGGTGCTCTCACTGTGTGTGAGTATTCTGATCTATCGTGCGTTCCTGCATCCCCTGCGCAAATTCCCTGGTCCGTTCGGGGCCAGACTCAGCAAATTCTGGGCCTTGAATAAGGTCCTGGAGACCAAGTGTGGATGGTATCGGATTCTGGATCAGTTGCAGCAACAATACGGCGACTACGTGCGTACAGGTAGGCTTTTTCCTTGTGATTCATTAATTGAAATTTACTGGATCTTTGAATTCATCAATTGATTGGATGGATAGGCCCTCGCGAGCTTGTAATTTTCGATTCGGCCGCCATCACGCCGATCCTGGGATTTGCGTCTGTCACGGGAAAAGGCCCCTTTTACGACTCGATGGAAACGTCGGTCAGTACAACCCGGGATCACGCATTTCACCGACAGCGCCGTAAGATCTGGGATCTCGCATTCAAACAGTGTAAGTAGGAGCTTCTAGACGATGGACGGAAATCTATCGGATGAGAATTATTGCTCACTGTGCAGCGCTGGCCGATTATGCCCCTCGCATCGAGGAGTTTACGAGTCAATTGCTCTCTCGCATTGCCCGGGATGGCGCCAAGGGCCCGATCTTGGTGAATGAGGTCTGTATCCATTACAGCTACGACGTTATGAGTGCGCTGGCGTTTGGGGACCCGATGGGGTTTATCCAAGGGGACTCCAATGCCGTCGCAAACTCGGTGCTGAACAATATCCAGAACGGGGTGGACGCCATCGGGCTTCTGCTGCATGTGCCCTGGTTGATGGGGATGTTGACCACCTTCTCCTGGGCAATTGGGCCCATGCGCCAATGGAACGAATACTCCGAGGGGCTTGTAGAGCTCCGCAAGAAGAAACGAGATCCGCAACCAGATCTCTTCGGTCACCTCTTGGATAATACTGACGACACCCGCAGCGGGCGCTCTCTACTCAACTCAGAATGCCGCTTGATTGTGGGTGCTGGAAGGTATGAACATGAAGATGCAAGAGAAATACTAGATTGAACAGAGTTAATGTGTATCGGACAGTGACACCACGGCTACGGCGTTGACATTCATCTTCGTCAATCTAGCATTATACCCGCAATGGCTTCAAGCACTGCGCGATGAGATGGACCCAATCTTCGCCACCGCGAGTTTTGAATGTACGCGATCTCGCCCTGTGCTCGATGCGGTGATCCAGGAAAGCATGCGTCTTCACCCGTCGGTGTTTTTTGGTTCGCAGCGTGAGACTCCCGCGCAGGGAATGCGTATCGGAGATATGTACATTCCAGGCCATACCATTATTTCCATTGCAGGATATCAGGTGGCAAGAGGTAATTTCTCTGTTGTTTTTATAAATGGTAATGATGATTCTGACCTGGATATTAGATGAGCGCAACTTTGTCCGCGCGAAAGAATTTCTCCCGGAACGATGGTATTCCCAGCCAGCATTGATTCTTAACAAAGGCGCATACATGCCTTTCCTTGTCGGCCCCTTCAACTGCGCCGGGCGGAATATGGCCATGATGGAGCTGCGCTCGGTCGTCGCCCGTGTGGCATGTGAATTTGACATCACATTTCCCCCCGGGATGGACTTTGATGCCCACGATTATTTCCATCGCGTCAAGGATCACTTCATTGCAGGTGCACCAGCACAAAAGTTGGTGTTCTCAAAGAGAGTCAAGGATTGATATGGGGCATCTCATGCAATTGTCTTATGCAGTTTAATCAATATAAATAATATACTTACACTTATATGAGCCCGATACTCATTGCAGCTCCTCACCAGTCATGAAGTTCTAGAATTCAAGTATACCATCATTACCTGATATACATTGGCTTCTGTCTAGTGAAAACAAATATCTCAATATTGTGGCTACAAGCAGGGTTCTTCCTGACTGTGTTAGTGACTGGGTCCCAAGTAGGAAGTATGTCTTTAAACTTTGGACAGTTCCCCGACATCCACCTCTAAATTGATCCAGACTATTACTGTAGGATTTCAATGAAGGGTATGAGCGACTCTCAAGAAGAGAAACCACCTGGTGTAAGGAACAGGTTGTCACTCATACTTAGCTTAAGTGGCCAGCAAGATGTTGCTGTTGCCCCCACTTATCTCTAGAACCTATTAATATTTACAAAGATTTATCTATGCGCTTTAATACTCAGAAGACATGAACTATATCTCCCTAGTCTTTAAGGTATTTTGTTAGCTTAGCTGTGTTGAAATATATATCTTTTCTATCCTGCTTACATCCACCTTGAAGTGCTGTTATCTATATAAGTGCTAGATTAAAGGCATAAGACTAGTGTCACTAATCTAAAATAATTCCTAATATAGCTGCAGCTCACTGAATAGCAGTGGATTTCAAAGACTAACAAGAATAGACTAAATTAAAGAATATTATCTAGATGATTATGGGTCTCTTCTAAATATGGCATGTTACTAAAGTTTATGACGTTAGTCTAGTTAGGTTAGTCTGACCATGGGCCAGCCCCAAGCCAGAACCAGTGGCCCCCGACAGGCAGATGGAGTAAGTATTGTTGTACTAGGTCTGCAAAGGCATTATATGGGCTAACTGATAGATAAGCACTCTATATTCCTAATGATAGAAAGACGACATCCATGATTAAATATATGATTGTACACCAGGAGGATGTGATTCTATCAATCATCTAGAGTATAGATATAAGGTCTAGCTAAGAGCACTAATAGAGCAGGGCGCAGCTCTTGAAAAGCCAAGGCGATACCTTAGGCTACAGCAGATAGAACCTCTTGATAATATGGAATAGGTATACTAGGGTTAGGTTAAGGTTATGATTATAGATAGCTCAAAGCATGGGCAGGCTACATCATAAGGCACAATACAGAGTATAGGGCCTCTTAACCTAACAATGATCCTTTTAAGTAAAATTTCATTTTCTAAATGTAAAGCTGGCTCCCTGGCCATAGTATAAAATACAGGTTTCTGTTCCTCTCCTGCACATGCTCTTTCGGCTTGCTGTCTCTTTGCCTCAACTCTGAAAGTGCCATCCTCACCATGAGCTGCTCCATGTTCCCCTTCTTCTAATCTAGGAGCCCACTGTCCACTCGGACAAGACGACTCAAGAAATAGACTTGTAACCGGTTTGACCCAAGGCAGCCCAACTTGAGTTCTGGTTTTTTACCTATTCATGCTACAGCCCAGTATTCCCTCCCGCATGCTGCTGGACCATCGAGGCAAAAACACCCCCTTCCTTCTGCTTCAGATCCTCAGGCACGCCAAATTCCGCGGCGACGCCGTCCTGCATGACCAGAATCCGGTCAAAGTCCATGACTGTGCTGAGCCTATGCGCCACCACAATGAGGGTCGTATCTATGAATGACTCCCTGATGGAGCGCTGGATCAGTTGATCTGTGGCTCCGTCAACCGCCGAGGTTGCCTCATCCATGATCAGAATCTTGGGGCGGGTCAAGATCGCGCGCGCCAGGCAGAGCAGCTGTTTCTGGCCCTGCGAGAGATTGTTCCCGCCCAATGCAATCGGAGAGTCTAGGGAGAGGAAGATGTTGACGGCCTCTTGCGCGTTCGGAGTGAGGGTACCCGAGTCGGAGTCAGACTGCGGTGCGGTGGAGGGCAAGAGATGGACCCGGCGCAGGGCATCGTACAGCTCCATGTCGCTGTATCTGCTCTGCGGGTCGAGGTTGGAACGAATGGTGCCGGAGAAGAGCACCGGGTCCTGCGGGATGATGGCGAGGCGAGAACGCAGGAGATCAAGACGGATGGTGCTGATGTCCACCCCGTCAATCACAATACTTCCCTGCCGGGCGTGCAGGAGACGGAACAGCGCCAACGATAGGGTAGATTTGCCTATGGTGAGCATGTTAACACTGAACTCTATAATATTCTCATGGCGAGCTGTCATGGCGAATTCATGGCGAAGGTGAGACCAGCACTTACCAGCTCCCGTCCGTCCAACGACACCGATCCGCTGTCGCGCCTCAGCAGTGAAGGTCAACCCTTTGAGGATTGTAGGCAGTTCCTCTGCGTACCCAACCTCAAGACCCTGCACTTGTATGCGGCCGTGTTCTGGCCAACTGGCCCGGACAAGGTCGCCATCTGTCGGCTCCGTGGCAATATCGCGGTATTCAAGGATCCGCTCGGCGGCATTCATGTCCAACTCGGCCATTGTGGCAACACGAATGCTGCGGCCCACGGCCTGGCTAAAGTTCAGGGCAAAGGAAAGGGCAAAGCCTGCCAACCCAGCATCGACCCCCGGGATGGAGACGACGCAGAAGGCGGTGGTGACGGCCAACAGGGCCGACGTGAAGCCAACCCTCAGCATCAACCAGCCCCGAAGCAGGGCGTCGTGCCATGTACAGGCGGCATACTGATCAATCATTGTGTACATGCGGTCTGTGAAGGCGGCGGTCTCATTGAACGCCCGGATTGTCGCCAGGCCGCGGAGCGTGGTGGAGAAATGGGTGATGACGGGTGATTTGGAAATCGACTCGATGCGTTTGATGGATCGTGCAGCGGCGATATAGCGCTGGGCAATCATCACACAGAGGGAGATCAACAGCACTGCCACGATGGCCATCCAGGGCGTCACGAAGATGGCAGCAACAAGGATACCCAGCAGCTCCCACCCCATTGCCGCCAGGGCATAGAAGCTCTGCGGTAAGCCCGTGTCCATGGAGTTGAAGTCGCCCGTGAACCGGTTCAGAATACGGCCTGCAGGGACGGTGTCGAGCCAACGGAGGGGGGCGTGCAGGATGGAATGGAGCATCTGCATGAAGATCTTGCGCGAGGCCCGCAGCGAGGCTGTATACACACATGCCAGCCGGGCGATGGTGACTGCCACCGAGACGCCGGAGATGGCGCAGTACACGCCCAAGTAGAACCACACGCTGTGCGAGGAGGCAGCCTGGACCGTATGATCATTCGGCATCATCAGAGTCTGGAGAGTATGCATGTTGAACGTTCTCGGCGACGCTTCCTGGCCTGCGTTGGCCCAGATGCGCACCCAGTATGTCCGGCCCAGCACAAAGGTCTGCGACAGGGCAAACAAGATCACGATGAGCAGCAGCATGAGCGGACCCCCCGAGGCTCCCAGGTATCCCTTGTAGATGGCCGCGGCGATGCGCCCTTTGCTGCGTGTTTCGACGTCTGCCTCGACCTTTTTCGACTGGGTGAAGGCCGGTCCGGTATCCTCTTGATCATCTTGAATCTCTTCTTTCTCCTCGAGCTCGACACCGGCAAACTCAACCCGGCCGTCTGCCAATCTGACCGAGTATGCCGGGCGACACATGGAGGCGTGGTGTGTGGCCAGGATGCGCGTGCGGCCCTGCGCGAGTTCACCATACAGTGCATTGTCAAGCACATGGCGCCCGACATGGGCGTCCAGGGCACTAAACACATCATCAAGCACCAACACGCTTGCCCGGGAATACAAGGCGCGGGCTAGAGAGACCCGCCACTTTTGCCCGCCGCTGAGAGTGACGCCCTGCGTGCCGATGACGGTATCATCTCCGTCTGGGAACATGGCGAGATCCGGCAGCAGCGCACAGGCTGCGACGGTCTTGCCGTAGCGGGCGGCATCGAACTCGGCGCCAAACAGGATGTTATCACGGACTGTCGCGTTCTCAAGCCAGGGCGACTGCGCAACAAACGCCATCCCCGCCCCGGCGGTAGGGGGCACATGGACTGCGCCCGCGAGCACGTCTGCCTCGCCGAGGATGGCGGCCAGAAGCAAGGACTTGCCGCTTCCCGTTGGGCCGGAGATGACGCTGAACTTGCCGGGGGGGAAGTTGAGATTGACGTCCCGCAGGACGAACCGGTCGTCGCCATTGTCGTTCTTCTTGTTGGTCGGAAACGCCAGCGAGGCGTTGTGAAAGGCCACGGAGGGGCCTGGATGCGTGGCTACCGGACGGTCGGGTGTGCGCAGGAAGCGATCAATTCGATCACAGCTCACCTATCTCATTAGCAACAATGCAGCATATAGGCAAAGTTTAGGGTTAGGGTTTAGGGTTTAGGGTTTAGGGTTAAGGATAAGGATAGGGTTAAGGTACCTTTGCGTTGATGAACATGACGAGTAGGAATGGAAGTCCCGAGACAAGCCCTTCCAGCTGGAGGAAGACGCTGATGGCCGTGAAGGCAACCGCCGGCCCCAGGGAGCCATGGACCAGGACATATGTCGTGAGCGAGAATGCAGTCAATACCACCGGGGTGAACTCGGAGGCGACGGCCATGTAGATGTTGTTCAAGCGTGTCTGCCACAACACGGCCAGCTCTTCGTCCCGGATAGCACCCAGCTGCGCCGCCCACTGGTCTTCACTGGCCCCAAACTTGATCTGGCGGATGCCATGCAGCATTTCCGATGCGATGGTTGCGCGGCGATCACGGATGCGCATCAGGATCTTCTGTTTGCGGCCATAGCGAGCCGCCAGGGTGCGGTTGATGGGGAACAGCACGGCGATGCCCAACAGGCCCATCGCGAGCGACTGCCAGCCCATCAACAGCCACAGGAAGACGACAGTCACACTGAATTTGCCCGCAAGATTGATGTACTGCGAGCTCTGCACGGCGAACATGGCGATCTGGTTGCAGTCCACGGCGAACATGTTGACCACATCCTGCGCGCCGTCCTCGTCCCCGGGTTTCCGCTTCCCCCCCGGAGATCCTCGCTTCGGGGGTCCAACGGGTTCATCCGTGTTGTCGCTGTCCTTGTTGTTGGCGTCTTCAACCAGCCGCCGCCGCAGCATCTTGCGGTACATGACCCCCGTCAGCGTCGACCGCAGCGGGAGAACCAGCTTGCCCACCCCCCACCACATAATCCGCGTGTCGACAAACTTGGAGCTGACGGTGGCCGCCAGGATGGACACCACGTAGATCCAGGCGTGGCGGTCGACCGTGTCCGGGTCGAGCTCGCGGCGCTCGAGGTACTTGAGCAGCTGCAGGGTGGCAAACGCCGGCGCGACGTCGAAGAAATTGGAGACCAGAATGGCAATCCACAGAATGAGCAGCGACGAGCGGAAGCGCCAGCCCAGACGAGCCCACAGGGGCAGCCGCTCATTCAGAATCAGGCTGTCGAACACGGCCGTTGTCTGCGCGACACGCACGCTGTGCGGCGGCAGGGGCATGTTGTTGGCCTCCAGCTGCTCCGCGGCGCCCGCGCGCAGGACAGGCCCGGCCCAGGCAAAGCTCAGGCGCGCCCACAGCGCGCTCGACTGCTCGGCGTCCACGGGGCGCCCGGCCACAGACACCGCCGGGCGGCGCTGGATGAAGCCCAGGGCGACCACCACGCCCGCCAACAGGGCCAGCTGCACCGCGTCGAGCGTGTATAGCGGGGTATTGCTGCCCGTGGTCTGCAGGGCGGCCAGGAGGACAACAGCAACCAGCCCCGCGGCAGGGAGTGTGAGGAGGGCGCGGTGGAAGCGCGCGACGGGGTCGGTCTCCCGGGCGGCGTCCACGATGGGGATCAGCAGCAGGAACCAGGCCAGCAGCGGGAGCATGTCGGGGACGGGGACGGGGACGGGGGCGTGCTGGGCGGTGATGGCCGCCAGAGTCCCCCGGGCGACTGAGACGCCCAGCCCGGCGAGGGCAGCGGTAAACACGGCGATCAGGGGGCGGCGGTTCGAGAAGGCCGCCAGGGCCTCGGGGGAGGCAGTCCCGTCGGCGTCCTCGTACAGGGCCGGGGACGGCTTGCGCAGCGCGCCCCGGGCGCTGATGAGCCGGCGCCCAGCAGGCAGCGCGCCCAGGGCGAGGGCCGCTGTGGCCGCGACGGCGGCGCGGAAGTCCAGCTCAGGCAGCATTTTAATACTGGTGAGGGTGGAAAGAGAGTGAAAATACTCAAACAGTGGGTGACGGTCGTCTTATCGGTTTTGCTCCCTAGTCTCGGCTTTGCTCATCTAAACCCCGAGCACTTTCCAATCCGGTTAGCTGCAGTCCATAAATAGGCAATATCACCGAATCGATGGGGCTAGATTTTCTGTTTACTTATTGGGGCACTCTGATTGGCCAATAAGACTGTACTCCTATGCAGTGCTTCTGCTGACAGAATAATGATGGTGCTAGTTAGATTATCTGTCTCACCAAATGTCCGATGATCTAATTTCTGGGTGTCGAAGACACTCTGGGATCTCGAAAATTCATCCCTCGGGGAATTCGGGGAATTCCGGACAGTGCCCGCCCGTGCAACATGCCATTAATTAGAGTTGGGTTAACCATCACAGTCAGGGTCTAGAAATATGACTGAGTAGAAAGAGTCTATAGAATATATATATATATATATTTGAGTAGTTATATATGAATATCTAGTAGAAAGTGTTGCAATGATTGGAGTGGTAGTAGCTTGAACTTTATTCTTTTAAAAGCTATTATTTTTATTTCTTAAATATGTGAAGGTAATCAAAGCTATACATGATGAAAACCACTTCAAGCCCTAATAGTCAGGAGAAAGTTAAGGGATCCATAGAAATAAAATTTTATAATAGAGCTTTTGAATCTATACTCGGCTAGAGAGATGATTTTTGGATAGAACCACCAGGCGGGCAAGGTATATCAAGACGAAGGCAGGCCAGCCGGCTGAGGTGGCGATATTGATCTACTGGTCTTGATGTCTTAGGCCCCGGCCAGCGCGATCATGAATATACTCTACAGCAGCTCCAGTGCCAGCAGCCACATAGAGGGCCGGATCCTGGTGATCAGCAGCTGCAACAGTATTTGGCCGATGATTCTAGTATATCATTAGCAAGTTCAGGTCATGGCCCTTTATGCTGAGCACACTCTATGCCATATATATATATCAAAGGTCTGCTAAGCGAGGAGGAGAGCGGAAAGAGCAAAGGGATTAAACTTATATTAAACTACTCAAGTATAGTATATATAGCTAAATAACCACTATTTGATCTTATATGAGGCTATTCTTCTAGTAATTTATCCCAAGTATTCTGGATAATCACTTTCAGGTATTTATGATAGCTTGATATTTAGAGTAGGTCGTACTCTAGGTGCTGCTCAGTGTCTATATTATGCATATTAACTATTTGACTTGGGTAGAGACAGGAGATGCCATTTTTCAGGGGAAGGGTTAGATGGCAAGTATCTTATCAATAAGACAAGGCCCTGGGGGACAGTGCTAGACCTCTTATATATACACTTAAAACAATATCTGAGCACATCATGGAGGGGAAGGAGCTGTATTATTATGTTGTCAGACCTTAAGCACCTCTTTTTGGCTGGCAGAGACATTTAAAGACAACATAAGTATAGAAGATAGATACCTTTCCTATTGCAAAACCCTAAGCCCTAACCCAGTTCTAGAAAGTCAAAATGATGAGAATCTGGCGTCCAGGATCAATGTCAGCGCCCAGATCACATAGGTCTTATAGCGGCCGCTGTTAATTTTGGAGCATGGCAGCACTGGTGCCAGAGATTGGCGCCAGCAATAATGAGACACCCCATATGTAGTTTATTAATAAGAGAAACAAGTGCCATGTTGATCAGATTGTCTTCTATACTGGATACTACTTATTAGTGCCCCTCCTGGCGCACCTCTGCTGGGTATTGATGATGGACAGTATATATCTATTTCAATAGCATATTTTCTATTAGCCGCAGCTAATATGTGCACTCATAGGCTTTATGGGATGCATGAAGTTTTGGAGTTAGGGGTGTTATAAGTTACCTATTAGTAGGGTGAAAGCAATCCTTAATAGAAGCAAGGATCCCTTAGATCTTTTAGAATGACACCAAGAGATAATTATAACCCCTAAGAGATATATAGACTAAGGAACCTGATTAAAATAATAGTAGGTAATTCATGGAAATTCAATACTGAATATAATTTCCAATAGTAATCCTTAATTATATTCCCTCCCTTTAAGCCCACTCGCGTATCAAGGGAATCAGGCTATTAAGGTGAAGACACTTGCTAAAAGTGTCTAATAAGTGTAGTCCTTTATGCCTCACTAAGCCTGCCTGGCCCTAAGTAGAGTGAGAGGAACCTGCTTGTTCCTCATGCAGAAACAATCTAATCGAATCCCGGTCACCTTCTAATGCCACAGATGAGTCAATTTCAATACTATACTCCTATCGATAATATCAAGGATCACCGGCCGACAGAACCCTTTGGGGAACAATGTTGTTCACAACAGTTTGTAAATGCTTCTTCTGCCTCTCTAGATCGTCTTCGTCACACCCTTCCAGATTGAAATAGGGCCGCACGAAACAATTATGGGCTGTAGTATTCTCCGGGTCTTCCTTGGCTAGGATGCGGAAAACCTTTCTCATCCCTTGATGGCGGCTCACAATGTTTAGCAACTTCTTTGCAGTGCCGCTATCGTCGGTGTCGTCCTCCATGCAGTTTAAATGGGCACGGAGTGTATAAAGGACTAAAGCCGCGAGACCTGCTGCATAGGCAGTCGCAAATGAGCTGCCCCTAACTGGATCCTTCCAAATATCCTTCATATGTAAACCTTCACCAGGCAGAATAAAATCTGCCGTCGCGTAAAGGTTTTCCTTTGACATAGCACCATATATCGTGGCAGAACAGATTCGGATGATCCCCTCTAGGCTGACGGGCGCGAAATCACTTATCTCTTTTATCGCTCCCACGTCTGGGTGTGAAGCAAAGAGAATCGACTTTTTGTCCTGCAGGGTATCAGCGACAAGTTTCTCAAACTCCTCCTTGTCCGTATCGGTCGAGCTTCGCTCTCTTTGATAGCTCCAGCTCATTGAGATAATGTCCGCTCCCATCTTCCTGGCGTGTTGAAGGGCCTGATATTCATCTTTGTTTAGCGAGAGAGGGTCTACCGGCGACATACCGACATAAAACATACCTCTGTACATGACTTGATGGTGAATCGCTGCTTGCTATCTGATTTGCCTGAGTTATCCAGCCGGTAGACCAGGAGTTCCGCACCAGGGCAGATGTCTCGGACACACCGAGCCATTGCTGTGCCGTGGCTGCACTGGCCAAGAAACCAATCGTGTTCTGGGTGGAAGGTTTCGCCCTGTTGATTTGATCCCTCAAACTGGCTCACATCTGCGCCGTCATCAAGAATCGCCACTTTGACACTGACTTGATTTTGGAGATTTCTGTTGATCCTCGTCATGAAATTCTTGTACGGATCAAGGAGCCTGATCCAGTCTTCGGAGCTGGGCCTGTTCCAGCTCAATGATTAGCCCATCCAGAGAGAACCGGTCACACCGTCGTTGCACAGATCTTACATGGATTTTTCACTGGAAGTTGGAGCTTCAGCCGGACTTTCCACCGTTGTGCTAACTTTTGGCGGGATCGAAGTCGATGCCTCATTGAATGGAACGATCTCAACTTTGGGGATAAGGTTTTTGCAGTTTTCCCGAAGCCTTTGTTCAAATTCTGCCTTGTACTCATCGCAGTCTTTCTCATCGTTCTCGTTCTGGCGGCAGTCAGACACACTGATTTCATAATGCTCATGACAGCGGGTATTTCTCTTGCCTGGGGATGAATCTCGACAAACAGTTTCTCCAGCTGTTCTATGGTGAGTGGATGTCTAGGGCCTCAGACAATGCATTCATCGACTTACGCTCAAAAGCTTTGCAAGTCCGTCCTTAGCGGCCCAGCCCCTCAGTACGGCTGTATTTCCGTGCGAGTACAGATATACCTCTCTTACTCCCGGAGCGGCTCGAAAGATGGTGTCACTACAAATGTCAAATTTCCTCCATTTCCAGACTTCGATATCAAAGCCCGTATGCTGGCCGCTCTGGTTCACGGGGTTGAGACATTGCCGGATCGCGGCATTGGTGTGAGGGTGATCTCCGGCGTCATCAACATCGACGGTGAAGATCTTTTCCACTTTCTCCTCCCGAAGCCACTGAAAAACCCCGATATAGGGATCAGGGCTATCGCGGGGGGAGCCGGCAGACCGGACAGAAGGCGGGTGTACCGCTGAAGCGTTCCAGTAGGGGAGCTTGACGTAGCTCAGAGCTGTTTCGAATTTCATCCCTGACTTATCCCGGATATCGTTGATGTATTTGGCCGTCAAGTCTTTAGTCGCCCCGCACAGACTGAGTTGGATTCTTTTGGCTAAATGGGTATCAGAATCTTTGAAGACCTGACAAGACGGCTCGGCACTGACCTGAGGATATGTCTGCATATAAGAGGTTCCTGACCAGTTTGTGGTTATATTCCAACTCTTGGACACCATCACAGATGATGAGTTCTCTGTATCCAATAGCGCGATTCTTGAGAAAGCTTTCCAGCTTCCGCGCTTGATCAGACAACTTGGACTTTTCCTTCAACAGCTGGAAGACGCTTTTGCTTTGCCCGGCGACCTTCGAACAGCATAGTACAGCACCCGGGTAACGATCCACCAGGAGCTTGACAAATTCAATTAGCTTTTGCAGGTCCAAGGCGCTTCTATCGATGATGTCGACAGCCATCTGTAAAGGGGGACGTTCGTCGGTCGGTTCCTGGAGAAAGAATTCATCTGGACTAAGATCAAGGAGGACCTTGACTCCTTCCAAGTCCATCCTCTGGGCGGCAGAGGAGTCAAAGTTGGTATCTGTGATGAGGAATTCGAAGAGCCTCCGTGCCTGGTTGCGTAAAGCGTTTTTCAGAACGTCCCGGAATTTATTGTGATCTTCGAGTAAAGATTCAGCGTTCTTCGAATAAGGACAGCCTCCCGTTTGGTTCCGGGGCTCATCATCTGGCGAGGGGGTGGGATAGCGAGAGCCTCCAGGATTCTGTGGATTCGACTGACGCTCCAGCTGCCTCTTGAAGATTTCCGGCATGTCGACAGCTTGCAGCGAGCATCTGTCAGCCCCCTTGCACTCCTTCTGATGTCGCTCAAGCGCCTTGAGAGTGGGTTCCGGCAGCACCAGTCCCAGGACTAGGAAGAGAATTGACGTGTTGGATCTTGCAGCCTCTACCATCGGCGTGTAACCGTAGCTACTGGCGTGGACGAAGAGATCTGGCTTGTCGAACACAATTTCCTGAATGTAGTTCTGAGCCTGCTTCCCTAGATTCCTCACGTCCTCATTCACTATTTTATGCAGCAAAGTCACTTGCCCCTTGTCAAACTTGAAACTTGCTTGCTTACACTCAGAGTCCAGCTGTTCCAGCGTTTCAGGTTCATACAAGAGCTTAGTTATGATCTGAAAGTGATCCCCGTGTATCTTCTCTTCCTCTTCCCGCTGGAGGCGCCCCATGTCACTGGACAATTTGGTGGCATTGCTTTTCTGTTTCCCCGTCTCCCCAGCCTTATCATTGGGGGTTGCCCCCAATTTTCCATTGTGGGCGCCATTTTGTGTCTGGCCAGTCACTCTTGCCATTGTCATACTTTAGGAGAGCTTGTTAGTAGAATGCATGAAAGGAAGTGATTAGGAAGTGATTAGGGGTTAGATAGTCTAGGTGGTCAGATTTCTTTTAAGCCTCACCCAGCTATTTTGCTGACTTGTGGCTGACTATACATGCAGGCCATGACGTGGCCTTGAATCACATATCATAAGACAATATGCAGGTGTCATCACATGGGGCACAGGCATGACAGGAAGATCTAAGATTAATATATAGTTATAAAGCTGAACTATGGAAGAGTGAAGTCGTAGTAGCTCGCCTCAATCAGTCCTGACATAAACCAGATCTTTACTATCCATCACTTGAAACAACAAATCATGGCGCAGTGTAATGATGATCCTTTCTCTTTTGACGCGATTCAGCTTCAGACCCAACCCGAGAGGCGCGGAATGCACCGCCTCGACGATGGCGAGCAAATCCAGCGTCCCGATGCCTTCGACGACCTCTGCCAGGGTCTCTTACTCCAGGCACGGATCGACCGAATCGTTCATGGGTTCGAGGGCGAGGGCCAAGGCCCCGCAACACTCGTCATCTTTGGCTTTCGTTTCCATGGCCTCAACGAGAAACGACGGTTCAAGGAAGCGGTCATCAACATTACGTTCCAAGACGAACAGAAGCGTCGTCACCACCGATACGATCCCGAGGTAATCTCGCTGTGGCCGAATGGGATGTTCACGCTTGGAGAGCCCACGGTCGTTGAGCTCGAGAGCAGAAGAGAGGGGAAGGTGAGGGCAGAGGTGACGGCCGGTGGTGCTGGGGTGGTGCAGGGAGGCGCCCGGGCTGCGTACAAATGGGAGACGACCAAGTCATTCAAGAGGCTGGATCGGGCCATCTTGGTTGGCTCTATGACCCTCGACACCACGGTGCGACATGAGGGGGGAAACAATCTGGTTCGCCTCACCATCTCGGAGAACCACGCGGCCGCATCAGGGATTGTCACGGACTTGCGCGCTGCTGTGCTCCTGAGGCGCAAAAACGACGACGATACGTTCACGGCCTCGGTAAGATTCAAGGCCAAGGCGGACTTCCGATACGACTGCGTCCGCGGGGTCCGCGATATCCTGGGATTCTCGCCTCCGAATGGACCGGTTCGCTTTAAACCGGGAGTGCAATACCTGCGGCCACCCACGTTGGGAGACGAGATGGAGTCTAGACTTGCGGCGTCGATTGACGCAAACAAGCTAAATGCTGCGAGGTTGAATGAACTGGCAGGGATCTTGAGCGCCACTGTCTTGGCCATTTAGATAAATTTCCTAATGCTATGCTGGATGATGTGTAGAGGACTGGATCACTAATATCAATCCTTAGTCTCACTAGCCGAAGGAATCTCTCCTCACACTATAAAGCCCTAAACCCTAACATTAAACACTTCTGCTGGCGGATGTCAGGTATATTCTTGCTGTAGCGTATGATATAGGATGGCTATGCCTCTCCGTTAGCCAATCCAAGCATACTGTCACGCTGCATCACGAGAACATGTATCATTGCCACGTATATCCCTGTCGACGCAACTCTCAGCCTGATGCGACAGGGATCTATCTATTCGGTGAACAGAGTGAGACCCCCGCCTGACGAGGACAAGATAGCTATCCAGTGCTAACAAGCAGTCCCCTTGAAGCGGTCTCCTCACTGTTCACCACAAGTGTATCCGATTCACCATGACGGAAAGGTATTTGAATAATCAAGAGAAACCACGATGGAAGCCAAGCTTCAGGTTGGTAGAGCCCGACGAACGGCCGTGATGCTGGCACTGATGAGGTCAGGATATTTCTTGTCGGCTTTGGCACACAAGCTGGTACAGTCGCAATGGTGGACAAGATACGGGTTCTCATTCCCGAAGCAGAAGTCACCAGTCACAGTATTTTTCGAGATGAAAGGGAACCAGAGAAGAAGGAGGAGGAGAACAAGCTGGATCTGGCAGTGGATGAGTCTAGTGACGCGTCCATTCCCGATCTTGAAAACCGAGATACAGATTCTGTAGCGAGCGTGACAGTGGGGAGAACTGTTCTTTCCCCGGTCTGGATGGAAGATGAAGCCTATCACCTCCTGCATCATCTTCGTGGGCAGCGAACAGGAATCACCGACAAAGTCATACTTGCTGGCTACGGCCTGGGGGGCATCATCATCAAACAGGTAAGAGAACTGTCCTTTTAGACTCAACCCTAAACCCTAAACCCTAAACCCTAAACCCTAAACCCTGAAACCAACGCAACGCAACCCTAGCCCAGCGGTGTATTGACACAACCAGGCTATAGATATTGCCAGAACGAGCCCTCTCTTCTATGACGTTGCGGATACCATCGACTCCCTGGTTTTCTTTGCCACACCGCACCACCCAACTGACCAGCAAACATGGGAAGGGATGCTTCAGAATCTGACGGCAGAATCGACAGGCAATATCTTGGATATCCTGCCGGGCCTCGTTGATGCAGTGGCCAGTCTATCGCTTGTTTTCTTCCGCCACCAGACAGCATATACCGTCACAAGCATCGTGACTACCAATACCTTCAGCTCCCTTGGCCAAACTATCAGGTGGAAAAGCACCGACAGCCGCGGCATAGCCAAAGGCGATCTGCAACATCTAGACAACTTGCGAACCCTGAGAATGTCTCTGGCTCCCAGCTGTCTGACATCAGGACAGGGTGGAAGTACGGCAACGCCGGAACGTGAGGACGAATGTAGGGAATCCAATATCTACTTTCGATTCCTTCGGGCACTCTCTCCTTCTCGGAGAGCCTTCTACGAGAGCAGGGCTCGGTGCCAGATCCAGGACGTCGGATTAAAGCAAGGCCTGGCTCCCGTTCACTTTTGTCAGATCCGGGGTAAGTCTGTGCAGGTCACGGCGCCCGAGCGATATGGCAGATCCGTCATTGTGAAGCGGATTGCCCAGGGCATCCGACAAGAGCATCCGGTGGTGGTTATCGAGCATTTCCCCAGCTCTTCGACACTCTTCAGCCTTTTTATTTCCACTCTCCACCAGATCTTGTCGCAGAAGCCCTCCTGCTTCGACTCCATCCGCCATCTGGCCGCAGAGATGCTTGCCCTCAATGCCTGGACGGTGGGTGGAGTAAAGCACCTGCTGTCCTCCATCTTCCACCACACCGAGAGGCTGGACGTGCTCGTCGTCGTCTATGATCTCGGATCACAATCCTGGGCGCCCGAGGCACGCTCCTGGTGGCCAGCTCTGCGAGAAATGATCAGGGCTTCTCCATCGTCGAGCTGCACATTCCTGATCAGTAACGACAAGCCTGTCGAGGAGTTGGACGCCGAGTCGGCCGTCGTGTTAGACCTGGAGAAAGATTATCACTCCGTCAAGAGCAGGTTCATCAGATCCAGGGTCAGCCAGCTGCTCGACGGCATCTACGACCTGACTGCTACATCCACCAAGAACTTCAAACGGGAACTCACAGCGGCCATCGTGGACAAAGCCACGACGTTCCAGGGCTCGATGCATGAGGTCTGCTCGTTCCTGGCTCACCTCTTCCAGCAATTCCCGCCCAGTGTGCCCCAAGCCATGCGAGATACCATTGCGCACAGCCCAGCGGACTCTGCATCCCTATGTCAGGCGCAGGCGGAGCTCCTCATATCCAGCCACCATCCCGGCGCCGTGACCTGGGCCCGAGAACTGCTCTCCTGGATTGCGATGGCGATGCGTCCCCTGCGCATGGAAGAGTTGGCGGTCGCCGCCGCCCTGTATCCTCCGTCGTCAACAACCCTGCCAGGCACGATCAGCGCGCAGATGGTGTTGGACGTCGAGGGGGACATTCGCCGACACTTGCAGGCCTTTGTGTTGGTTGAGAATGGCTACGCGCGCATGGCCAGCCCGCACGTCCTGCCTGTTCTGCGCAGCGTCGTCCAGCTCCAGCCCAGGGACCATTCTGACCTCACGGTGATCGGGCTGCGGTACCTCACCGGCGTGCTCTGTGAAGCCCTATCACGCCCGGAATGGTGGGACAAATGTCAGTTCTATGTGCGGTCGTCTCGAGAGATCCCAGCAGAATCGATACAAAGAACCTGCAGCAGCGCCGGGCATGAACCAGTGCTGGAGCTGCTGAGTTATATGGTCCGCAACTGGCCCAACCACTACCTTTGTGTCCAGCATCCAAGCGTCGAACTTCAACGCGAGGTTGTGGCATTCTTCGAGCAGCAGGGAGTTGTGGAGAAATGGTTCCAACTGTACCTGGATTGTAATTCCTTGCCGCCGGACATACTCCTTGACATGGAGAGCGTCAGCAATTGCAACGACAGACGCGCAGTTCAAATCGCCGGCTTTCTAGGGCTCCCTTCAATCGTGAAGCTGCTCGACGGAGATCTCAGTGCAAAGGAATACTTCCGTGTGCCACTGCGACGTGGATGCGTCGAGTCCGAGATGGTCGTCAGGCCCAGGGACTCCAAGCTGTATCTTGAGGCTGTCATAGCAAACGACGACGTCCGCAGTTTGAATAGCTTGCTCGATGCCGACATGGACAGTGTCGTCCGTTTTCACCCTCTCCATATGGCCGCACGCGCCGGGAGTGTAGAGAGCACCTCCATTCTCCTTCAGAGACTGGCCACCTCGACTGACACGGATCATACAGGCCGAACAGCACTGCACGCGGCCGCGGCCTCTGGGAACTGCGAGGTGATGAGGGCTCTTCTGGATGAGGAGCGCACCGCCCTGGTCAGGATGGTTGACCACCAAGACAGCAACTCGGAGACTGCGCTGCTTCTCGCCACTCGCCTGGGAAACACGGAGGCGGCAGTCTTGCTGACCACGCGGGAAGAAGGCCGATGCCTCGCAATTCCCGACAAGGAGGGCAGAAACCCGATTCACCATGCCGTCGTGAACTGTCTCGATGTCCTCTTCGAGCTCTACACCTCTCTCCCGAGTGAGATCAGCACTTGCGCCATCAGCGCCCACGACAGGGACGGCGCCACGCCGCTGCATCTCGCTGCCCGCTGTGGCCGTGTGGCCGCCGTGCAGGCCATCCTCGCCGCCGGGGGGGATTCTGGGCGCGAGTGCGAGATTCTCGAGGCCAAAGACGAGTCTGGCCGCTGGCCACTGCAGTGGGCGGTCGAGAATGGACACGCCGTGATTGTCGAGAGACTCCTGAGGACGGCCGCCATGTGTGAAGCGTATCATGGCGCTGACGGCACGATCAACCGGATAGCAGAGCTAGCGGTGCAGAAGGGACACTTGGCGATTCTGGAAGACTTGCTGGACTGGGATGCAGACCTTGAATCTCATATCCCATGTCTCTTCAACCGCGCGGCGGAGCACGGCCAGCTGGTCATCGTCGAGTTTCTCTTCCAGACCTCTATCGTCGCGGCCGATGGCGACGGCACAGAGAAACGCACGCCGCTCGGGTGCGCTGCATCCAACGGCTTCGGAGGTGTGGTCCAGGCGCTGCTCGATCATGGTGCCGACATCAACCTTGCCGGCGCTGAGAAATGCACGCCCTTGCTGCTGGCGGTAAAGAATGGCCACGCCAATGTGGTCAGGGTTCTTCTGAGGCAGATGGAGGAGCAGGAGGATGGCGAGACAGTAGAGGTCAACGTCAACATCCCGGATGTCTCGACCCGACGCACGCCGCTGCACCTCGCCGCCGACAGGGGTCACTTGGAGATCATGGACTTGCTTCTCAGCCACCGTTCAAGGGCAGAGGCCGGCGGGGTGGACATCGAGGCGCGAACAAACATGTTGGAGACGCCGCTGCATCTCGCGGTCCCCCACCCCCAGGCAGCGGAGAGGCTGTTGGATGCCGGCGCCGAGGTCGATGCAGCAGACGACTCGCGTCAAACCCCTCTACACAGGGCCGTCCGCGATCGCAAAGGCCAAACCGCCCGGTTGCTGATCGCCAGAGGGGCGAGCCTGTCCGCCATTGATATGATGGGCCGCCGGCCGACCTACGACGCCCTCAACACCAAGAACATCCCGCTGCTGGAAGAACTGTACAAGGAGGATTGCCCCTCCGATGCCCTGTGGGAAGACGTCGAGACGGCAATAGAGCTCTGCAGCGACGATCCCTCGATCGTCGAGGTGGTGAAAGCCTTGCTCCCTCGAGTAGTGAAGCTGAATCGCGGCCTCCACACCGATGGCCGGTCGTTTTTCCATGTCTTCGCGGAGAATGGGCCCCCGGAGCTCATCACCATCCTGGTGGATCTAGGCCTGGACATTGATCAAGTCGACTCTATGGCTCAGACGCCGCTGTGTGCTGCGGTCAGACAGCGCAACGTGGAGACCTGCAGACTCCTGCTCACGGCCGGGGCATCTGTAGATGCGCATGGATCCAATGGTGACACCGCGTTATACACCGCGTGTTACCTGGGAGAGCCAGAAGTGGCCCGGCTGCTTCTCTCCCACGGGGCGGACCCCAACTGGCACGATGGACTCACCTGGTCGCCACTGCATGCCGCCGCGGACAACGTTGAGATCGCCGAGCTGCTGCTGGAAAAAGGCGCCAGCATCGACGATCAGAAAGTCGATCTGTGGACGCCGATGCATCTGGCCGCCTCTTGGGGCGAGGCAGATGTGGTCCGGCTGCTGCTGAAAAACGGCGCCGAGCCCAACCATCTCACCGAGGACGGCGACACTCCCCTGCATCGCGCCCTCAAGAATGATCGGAGCCTTGTCGTCAAAGCCATGCTGGAGCACAGGGGCAGCAAGGGCATTGATTTCGAGAAAAGGACCGCCGACGGACGAGCGCCCATCCATCTAGCAGCAGCACAGGAGGACAGTGACAGTCTCCCGCTTCTCCTCGAGGCTGGCTTGGATGCCAAAGCCCTCACGGACGGTGGTGATTCATGTGCCGACCTGGCGGTTGAGGCCGACAACCATGATGGACTGAGGGTCCTTCTCGCTGCCCACGCCTCTCACTGGGACCTCTGCGAGCTCACCACGGCCTACTGGAGGGCGGCCAAGCGCGGCTGCAGGGAGTGTCTGGCCATCCTGGTCGGCCAGAGCCCTGTACTGGCGGGCCTGTCCTCGCCCGAGGGTCTGAACGGGTTTGAGGTGTATCTGGAACGCGAACGACCCTCGTACGAACCGCCGTCGTACCTGTTGAGCCTTCTCGATCTCGGTTTCGACCCGTTCCGGCGTCCTGGGCAGGCCCAGGCGTCCGCGTTTGAACTGGGCGTCATCTCCCGGCGTCATGCAAACACTGCCTTTGTACCACAGTGCCTCCGGCGGCTTCCAGACACTCTCACCTCGTCCGCACTCGGCTTCCGAGAGCTGCGGATAGTAACGGAATTCGACGACAAGGACAGCTGGACCGCCGTGGAACCATTGCTGGATATCGTCGAGGACGCAACCGATTCAGACGGGTGGAACATCGACCACTTCCTCTACCAGTCCCATCCCCGCCAGGGGTTTGCTCGCTGGCGTGAGACAGCCGTCAACATGGCGACCCGGCTGCCTACCGCGCTCACACGGCCTACCTTCTGGCGAGGACAGGATTCAGCAGTAGAAGATCGCCTGCAGCTTCATGAAAGTGGCACGGAAGCCACGATGGGGAGTAAGCACCCCACCCAACCCTAAACCCTAAATCCTAAACCCTAACCCTAGGGTTGGCAATCTTGTTCTCAACTCTTTTGATTCTAACCCACGGCTGTGTTGCAGGTTCCCCGGGCAAATCGGATGAGGAAGTTCTCCCTCTGCGAGCGAATCACCCCTTTCCACCCCGCGATAGAGGGCTCGCCTATTTCGAGGTCTCGGTGCAGAAAACGGACGAATCGACTTCGGAATTGCCGTTTCTTGCAGTCGGCTTCGTGGGGGAATTCACCAACAATACGGCCTCCCAGCCGGGGTGGAATGTGTGGTGTGTGGGCTATCACGGAGACGACGGAGCCATCTATGAGGAAAGATCGTCCAATGCGACATCCACGGGGAAAACATTCGACTTCGACTGCACCGTCGGCTGCGGCATCGACTATCAGAAGGGGGAATACTTTTTCACATTGAATGGGGGCATTGTCTGTAGGTGTTTCTCGGGGTTTAGGGCTAGGGTTTAGGACTGGGTATGGGTTAACTGTTCATGATGCAGTCTCCAGAGCGTCCAACGTCATCTTCCGCAAGCTGTACCCTTGTCTTGGTCATCGTGCGGCATCCGTCAAGCTCATCGTGAACTTTGGAGCAAGTGACTTTGCCTGGCAGGGAGCCAAGAAGCTGGTTCAGCCGATAGACTCCCTGAGTATGCGTCCGCCAGTCCCGCGTCGACGCCTTTCCACAGCCCATTCTCTCCTGGAAAACAACAGGAGCCGCCAGAGCACCAGGAGAGAGAGCTCGATGTGGGAGCAGTCGAGTCCTGAAAGAGCAGACTCTCCAGCCATGGGGGACAGAGATCGCACCCGGCGAAGGGGGGCGGTCATGTTCCAGGAACCGCCGCCGATCAACCCGCGCGATGATTCAGAGTTGGAGTATGAAGACATCAGTCATCAGATCACTCTTCGGCGGGCCCAATCGCGTACTAGAGAAATGTCAAGAACATGATGTACTTGCCGTCTAATCCATATCTTCACTGCTTCCAACATGGAATTAATACATGATCATAATACCCTAATTTGAGCCTATTTCGACGATATATTATATGATAAATACTTGGGAGTAAGAGGTTAACTGATTATATTAGAGCTAAACTACCCATTAAAATAAAGATATTAATTACATGAATATATTAGTGTTGTAGACTAAAATTTAATATTCCTATCCTCAAGCTAACTTACTAAAGTATGGCTATACAGCTCACTATTTGCTATACCTCCCAAGGTAGTCATCTCTAGGCAACCACCTTGCCGTCACTGTCATAATATCTAGAGAGGAATATCATTAGTATATAAATGTTAGTATATAAAGTATAATTTGCTATACAATGCTCAACTTCAACCCTAATACTAATAATATCATTAAATATAAGCTATTAAACAATATATGGCACACAGATAATGATTGATAATAGTAAAAAAGTTTATATTATAGGTTATAGAGAAGATGTCTCCTAATCCTTAAATTGAATATCAACTCTACTAATTCAATTTCACTTTTCTCACTCCTTCACTAGGTGCTTTGGGCAGTGAAAGCAAGATATGTTGTTTCTGATCTGCAGCCTGCGATGGCTGGATCCCCATCTCAGATCCGTTTAATAGGGCCGGATCTGAAGCTGAGACTGTAGCCAATGGTTTCCTGGAGGGCGACAGGAACATGCGGGCTATAATCTGTAGGAGAAACAGCAGCACAGGGGACTCCATCACCCAGTTCAGGACCTCATTCGGGTCTGTCTCTGGTGATATCTCTGCCACGTCCGTCCTGCTCGACTGTTCCTCCAGAACCTCTACCCGCTCACTTGCGCCTGTTGTAGGTACTGGGCGTGGTGCGTCTCGGGAATATAAATGGATAGCAGCAGTCAGTGCCGCAGGAGAATCCATTGCCACAGACTGTGATGGCACATCCAGCGACCCCAGTGAATCGGCAGCCTCTTCCGGCTCTGCCGGCGATGATGTCTGGTCAATATCCAGCAGACGGAAGGCCATGTGCCGGCTGTTCTCCTGTTGCATTGCGGTAGGCAAGTCAACGACCACCCGATCGAGCCGCTGAGTGAATTGCGTCGTCCCCCGGACATCGACGAGTGTGACCGAGGGCTTCTCCCTGGCAAAACGGAGCTTGCTGAGCCGGTGTTTCACCCGATCGCTCGGCCGGTACAGCTCCCCATTGATATTGATCGACATGTAGAAGGGCCTGCGCGCGTACTCAAAGGCAAACCCTGTCTGGAACTCGGGCCGCAGACACGGGCCGGTCTCCAGGTGGTTCTCCGTCAGCTCCCACTTCAGCGTGCGATAGTAACACCCGTCCGGCCCGTTACCGCCGTCATCTTGCCCGGAACCGGGCCTCACCCGGCCTGTGAACGTCCACCGGCCGGTATCGGTTGACCGCCGCTCCCGGTCGACTCCAACGCCGCCGCCCCCATTCCCGAGCACGGTCAGGTTCGGCGTGAGGTGATACGTCTTGGTGGACTCGACGCGTGTGTCGTCGCCCACGAGGCACTGCGGCCCGTAGTGCTCAGTGACCAGCAGGTGGCTGTCTCTGTTGTCGCCCGGGCCGGCCCCGGGGTGTCGCGGCGGTGCTGCCAAATTACTCGCAGACAGGGTGACCAGCACTGTCGCCCGGCGCAGCTTGCAGTCTACGGGCTGGTCGAAGGTGAGGTCCATGTACAGGATGCCGGCCGGTGTCTCGGTCGCGTTGAGAGTCCCCCATTGTGCCTGCGACATGCGCAGCTTGCAGTCCACGCGCACCTTGCCCAGACGTCGTTCTCCTAGACTGGCAATGGACGCCGCCTGGTCCAGGGAATGATAGCGACGGCCGTATTGACGAGAGAAGCGTGGATTATTTGTCATTGTGGGTATAGAGAGCAGATTTTGATCCAGGAGATGCGGGGTCTTCCCTTCTTTTTGAACAGAAAAAAAAGAAAAAAAAAGACCAAGGGAGTCAGCAAGGATTGTAAGGAATGATAGGCGCAAACCCTGTCTTGGTTGCGTTGTCCAGCGCAGTTGAGTCAGCCTTGCGGGCTGTGCAAGAGGTGAGCGCTCACAGGCATCTACTAAAGCATTTCCCCGAGTCAGAGATACCAAGAGTACTCTGTACCTCCTTTCATCACTCCAACTAACAACATGTGTCCTCGCAGATATATAGATGGTGGTAGCGTCAGTCGAGACCATCGGGCGGGCGGATTTGAGCGATATCTGACTCCTGAAAGACCCTCTCCCCGGTCGCAGAGAGAAATCGTTGTTGTCGACATAAATAACGACAGGCAGCAACGAGAGTCCGCCACGCTGAATGATCGACAGCTAGCAGAGCGTGGCAGGGAAGACACTCGAAGAAACGAGAATGAAGGCATCCCGTCGTTGGGACCAGAGCCATTTCTGAACGGTGTCGAGGGGGTTCTGAGCCCCGAGGGAATAAACGATTTGACCTACCATCTCGAATGCACCATTGGGCTGGATCTTTCGGCAGCCCTCGAAGAGCTCGCGCGTTTTCGGCAGATGGGCCATTTTCACGCCGCAGAGCAGTATATCCAGGACACGCTGGCTGGTCATCTTGACCATCCGGTTGTCTTGCTGGAACACGCCGATCTGCTGCTGGAACAGGGGGGCTACCGGGGCTTCAAGGAGCTGCAGCTGGCTTCCATCATCGGACCGCTCGAACGGGTGGGATTCTTTGAACCACAGGAGGTAGAAGGAGGAGACGAAAGTCGGATGGAAAGGGCTTGTCTCGAGCTTATGGCTGTTCGCGCCGCGCTGGCGCGTAGCTCGCATTTTTTGGATCGCATCTTGAACGTCGAGCACCACGATGGAATCAAGTATCTGCAGAGGCGACACGCAAGGGAGAACGTCCCCTGGACGTCCATCGAGGTGAGTCCATGGCATATAGTACCCTGATGATCGCTAACGGCGGTCTAGATCCTCTTCATTAGAGATTGGCTGTGTATCGTGGCATACGGAAGATCAGAATCGTCCTTGTTTCGGCGTATACCGTTCCAAGACCTTTGCAAGGACTGGCAAGGCCTGTACAAGTCTCTGCAGACAGACCGGCGTATCTGGGAATTTGATTCCCTGTTCTTCGCCCTCGCAAACCTGATGGGACTCGACGGGGCATGGAAACAAATGCTGCCTCCTACAACAAACCTCGCCACCAAAGCTGGGGTTGATCGCTTCCTTTGGGACTGGGAGACGGGCGACGGCGAGGATGATGAATCAACTTGCCTGGCACTGCTGGCCATCTGTACCAAGATGTCTTCCGGTCTTGTTCGGCATGCTCAAAGTGACAGGGATCTGGCTGCAGCCCGGATCTGGCTGCAAAGCGGCCAGCAGTTCGCAGAACGCATCCATCAGAGCCACCCGGCTTGTGTGCCATCAAGACCCTTTTTGCGCTGGATTCTCGCACAGGAGCACCTGGCCAGTGTCATGGCAAGGCAAGCTGCCGCTCAAGAAGGTCGGGAAGCCTCAACCGGCCTCATCGACGGGGACAATATAGTTGGCCTGGACATCTACGTCCCTGACAGCATGGAAAGGGAGGCACCTCCCCGTCCAAGACCCATCCACGTAACTCCCGACAACCGCCCGCTACTCACTACCGCATTACAGACAGCACGCCAACTAGGCGACTACGAGATCGAGGCACAGTGCCTGATCGAACTGATTCGCCGTGCAGAGGAACCCGAGGAGCTCTGCACGCAGCTTCACCACCTGCACGAGCAGACACGCGGGGATTTGATCTCTGCCCGCTACGTCCAGCTGTATAGATATCGACTCTGCACTGACAATACCGCACGTCGGGATCTCTGCGAAAGCATCAGAGGCCCGAGGTCTTCCGACGCGACGCTTCGTCATCCACCGGCCTTGCGAATGTATGAACTTCGAGTCAAGAGCGCTCTGTGGATGGCCCTGGGGAAGTATCCCGCAGAGGCCAAGGACTGTGCGAATGCAGCAAGGGACCTGGAACCTTTTGCCCCGCGCTATCAACCGGGATATATCAGCCAACTGAGGGGGTTTAATCACCAGGACGATAGCGACGACGATGATGATAACCCCCATTGGAACTCTCCTAGGAGCCTGGTAGTGCCGCCGAGTCGGATAATACACAGACGTCCTGTACGTTCCCATTACAATGAAGAAGCATCATCAAGTGCAAATGATACCGATGATTCGTCCGTGTTGCCCAGCTCAAGCAGGGAAAAAGCAGTCATAAGAGATGTCAAAACCTGGGTCGATCAATCCCAGAATGCACGCACATCTGGGAAACACATGGAGCTTTTGAAGACGCACCCCCGTCTACAGCCGGTAGACAGGCAGAATCCTCAACAAACTAACCTGCAAAGCCCTGAGATAGTGGATCTAGATGAGCCAGTGCACCCAGTTGATTTGCGCCCCCCTGAGAAGAAAGACAATGCTTTGGAGGCTCCGGCTGAAGGGGGGGAAACCCCGGTACTGGGCAAGGGCAAAGGGAAATCCAAGGATCCAAACACTCCCCAAGTGACAGTTGAGGAAACCCCGGATGAGAGTCCGGAGAAGTTATAGGATGATATACTACCTTTTCAAGGCACTGCTAAGATGATTCTATACTTGAATTCCTAAACCTGTCGCTTATGTATAATGCTATGATATTAAGAATGGGGATCTTTAGGTAATCAGTAAGCTAGAATAATAGGATTAAAGGTCTAATATTATAGAGGCCGCCTTATTGGTTTAATCTACCAATACTATCTGATTAGTAACAAATGTCTTATGTTATGGCTCACGTCATCACTTTGGTAACCCACAGAGCATGTCTATCTATAGTTATAGCCAGCCCCCACTATTTATATGAAGAATGTCTGGCACTTTTTTCATCTTCTTTCTTTGTTTATAACTAATCTTGTCATCCCATCTATATTAGACTTCTGTATATTACATAGTAAGGATCTCCAACACCATGCACCTCATTCTCACTGGCGCCACTGGGCTTGTCGGCTCCTCTGTGCTGGACGCCATGCTGCATAACCCGCAAATTTCCAAAATTTCCATCCTGAGTCGGCGCAAAGTCGACATGGCGGACGCAGCAGCCGATCCCCGCGTCGAGGTTATCAATCACCAGGACTTCAATGTGTACAAGTCTGAGCTGTTGGAGAAACTGGCAGATGCAGATGGGTGTGTCTGGGCTTTAGGGATTAGTCAGGCCAAAGTGACAAAGAGGTATCTCATCTTTTGCGTTTAATAACAGTTATAGAGGATAAAAACTAAACCTGCTCATAACAGTGAATATGTGACTATCACTAAAGACTATGCACTCGCAGCAGCCAACGCCTTTTTGACACTGAGACAAGGCAGGAAGCCCTTCCGTTTTATCTATGTCTCTGGCGAAGGCGCCACGCAAACCCCCGGCTGGACATCTGTGTTATTCGCCCGAGTCAAGGGGGAGACAGAGACAGCACTGGGAGAGCTATCTGCAAAACATCCAGACAAGCTCCGTGCGGACAGTGTACGGCCTGCAGCAGTGGATGCATCTGCTCATACTTCAATCAAGCCATACATTCCTTATCCGGGAGCAATGATGCATGGGCTCGGACTGCTGCTGCTTCCTCTGATCCGCTGGGGTTGGAAGAGTGGCCACTCGCCCACGCAGCCGCTGGGAATCTTTCTCACTGATATGGCAATGGGGAAATATGATCAGCAGATTCAAGGGCGGGGGGCTTTTCGACTTGGGGGAGGGTGGGTGGTGGAGAATGTAGGCATGCGCAGGATGTTAGGTTTGTAATTTAATAGTATATTCTTGACTATTAGGGTTTTACTGAAGTGTGATATTGAGCTTAATAACTAGTATGTGTAAATAAAGAACACTTCAGAATTACAGAGGTCCTATATATCTATGTATATTATCTAAGGTTGATAGGAAATATAAGTGCCCAGACTACAGCTTCACCTAATTAAATTCAAGTTCCTGCCTATCATTCAAACGATAATCAAGGGTCTTCAGCTAGGAAGTGATATTCAACGGCCCCGGGGTATAGTCATCCACAAAGTCGCTGCGGTCGTCGTATTCCGCCGGGCTCAAGCGCCTGAGATAGCCGTTGTTGACCAGATCGATGACTCGGGACGGCATCACGAACTGTGTGCCCATACCCGGTTGCTCATACCAGGGTGCAATCGGTCCGATCTGAACTGGAATTGCTTTCGTGATCTGATAGACGTGATAATTGTACGGATACCGTCCATCAGAGGTATCCAGGTTCTGCGGGGGCAGGGATCGCTCAATGTACGGCGCCCCCAGCGGGGACATGAACGTGCCGAACTCAGAGCCGAACCGGTCCAGTTTCTGCCCCACGGGGAGCGTCGTGTTTCCCAGGATAGGCTTCCCCGCGGGCGTCGTGCTGAGTACGAACCCGTTCTCCGGCGGCTGCGAGTAATTGCCATCCGCAGCAGTCCATTTGGACAGGAACTCGTATGGACACAGGTTGCCAAACCGGGCGTACGTCTGCAGCTCCGTTGACAGTGGGAAGTCACTCGGGGTGCTGACAGGGCCCAGACGCCGGTCCCCGCAGATGTATGAGGCGTCGGTGAAATTGATGCCAATGCATGGATCAGAGGCACATCGCGCGGGGTAGAGTGGCTGGCAGAAGAATCAGTCTGGCTTGTGCTTTGTACAAGGGACTAAAATACATACAGAGTCCTGGGTAAGATGCGACGCCTGGCACCAAGCAACGGTGACCAAGATACAGAGGGTGGTGATAGTATTCATACCGATATTTCCAATAAGATAGATACATGGACAGATGATTCTTGATGCTTATCATTAAATACTCCAGTTTGTTTATCTCTGACCTTTCAGGAATGTAATCTGATTTCAAGTAATAATACCTCAACTACATAGAAACGCCACATCATTCCTTTTTAGTTGTACAACTTAGTATCCTGTTGATGAATACAAATGAATAATATTCATACTAAGAGAAAGATAATTAAACCCTGACTTAGGATTGATAGGATAGGATAATTGTAGTTATGACCACTATTCCTAGATTGGATTGTTCAGACACCTTTTTGGTCTAGTGGTACCCATTTTTTCTAATCCTTACTCTCTATTATGCAGAAATATCAATTATTGGCGCACCCCACTATAGTTATACAACGACCATTCCTCTTTAGGATCGGTCTATATTTAATCTAAGCCCTCTATAATACTTTATGCCCTCTTTCTTCTAATGATCAAGGTAAGCATCTAACTAGCTATTAATTAAAAAGCATATATACTGATTCCTAGGCTAGTTCCTCTATCAATTCTATGTTGATCCCTGTGTCGATTCTGGCGTCGCTTCCTAGGTGATGTCTTTATTAATTCTTATATTGATCCCTGTGTTCATCCCTGTGTTGATCCCTGCGTTGATTCATATTGATTCCTAGGTGATCCCTATATTGATTCCTGGACGATTCCTTGGCGAATCCCTAGGTAATTTCTAGGTGATTTTAGATTGTTTCAAGGTAATTCTAGATAGTATTAGTAATTGCGAATATAGGGCTGCAGGTCTGACTTCAGTATTATTGCGGAGACCGTAGGTCCAGCGCAGTTTTAGTCTGTAGAGCTCTACTTTGCAATATTTTATATACTCCTACAAGAACAATACTCATAATTAACATACTTTATAATTATAGCCCCCATGGCGAGTTTACAGACTCATAAAGAATAAGGTTCTATGGAGTGCAATCAAGAGTGAAGTTTATTTAGAGCATACTTATATATGACTTTTGGTCTACAGAGATTATCCATTAAACGGCGCAAACTTGGACATCTTCCGCAGGCGCTTACCATAAATCATAAAGAGGAAGGGAACAGGAACCGCCAGTGTGGCAATACCACCCAATACAGACATAGCCGACCCAACACCCAGTCTGCGAAACATGGGCTGTGAAAAGAGCGGGAAGGCAGCAGCAAGCACGCTGCGTAAGAACGTGGCCGAGGCCGTGGCCGAGGCGGCGTACGGCCCATACGTGTCGACGAGGAAGTTGATGCACTGGCCAAAGACAATGCAGAAGCCGCAGCCAAAGACAACCGCCGCGACAATTGGCGATGCCGGCGATATAGGGGGCGAGGCCGTCCAGCCGAACCAGAACAGGCCGCCTGCAAAGAAGAATCCGCCCACCGCCATGGGCATCAGACGGGCCTCGGGGACGGGCCGGCCGCCGCCGCTGTCAAACTTGCGGATGTAGTACGGCTGGCCGACGCAGATGATGAACAGGGAGGACAGCAGGACTCCGACAAAGAGGCCCAGGAAGGGCAGCGTCGAGTCGACGGGCGCCCAGCCGCGGATCTCCTCGAAGACGATGGGGAAGACCTCGAGGGTGAGGTAGAGCAGCGCGTAGGTGAAGGCAGCGTAGAGGGAAATCACAGTGACCATCGGTTCGCTCACGAGCATCACGAGGGGCCTCGCAAGATGCTTGGTGAGAATACTGCGCGCGTCCAGTTGCAGGTGCTCGTGCGGGTGGTAGAGCTGGCTATTGCCTGTCTCCTTGCGCAGCCGGGCGGCCCTGCGCTGCAGCAAGACAGGCGCGTACATTTCGGGCAGGCAGAAGAAAGTCAAGACAACAATGGCAAAGACGACTATGGCCTCGATATACTCAGTCCAGCGCCATCCCAGCCGTGGGTTTGTGAGCAGCGCCGCCCCGATGATCGGCCCCATTGTTGGACCCCCCACGACGCAGACGGCGTACGAGGTGCTGGCGATGCCGCGTGCCCGCATGTGGAAGATATCCCCAAGGGCCGCCGAGACATTGCTCACTGGCGCAGAGCCAAAGAGGCCGGCAAAGTACCGGGTTACCAGCAATGCAGCAGGGCTGGTGCTGGTGGCAGAACCGATGCTGAACACGCCCAGCAGGAACACGGCCGGCAGCATCGACCACCGGCGGCCCCAGACCTCAGAGATGGGCGCCCAGCAGAGAGGACCGAGGGCGAAGCCGAGGCTAGTATATGTCAGCAAGATAGAGTCCTCAACCGATGGATGAGAGGGCCGAACATGTAGAGTGACACCGAGAGGATGCTGACTTCGGCGCTGATGCCCATATCTTGGGCGATGGTCGACTCTGCCGGCGAGATGATGGACGAGCCCAGACTGGCGCTCAGCGCCAGCAGGCCCAGCTGGAGCGTGATCCAGCATTTGTAGGGCGTGGAGAAGTTGCGCGGGTTCTCGGGATCGTCCGTCTTCCAGTCGACCAGGTTCGGGTCGTCCTGTGGTGCTGCAGCTTTCTCCATGCTGATGGATGAGCGAAATGCCTTTTCTATGCAATAGTGGCCATGAGAGATACTTTTTGTCAGCAGCTTCGGATCTCGGCACAGGTTCATCACGAGGTGTGAAATGGAACAGGATTAGCTCATAGCGAATGGATGGTGGCAACTGCTTTCATTGGCCGATAATTATTATTATGTGGTATTCCGCTAATTATGCTCAAACATCTTGTAGATAAAATCATCTACCATGGGGGGTAGAATTTAGCTGCAATATTTTAACCCTAACCCTAAGATCTTGATGCAACTGGCGGTGGTGGAAAGTGTAAATGCTCTGTAACTTAATATTGACTATCTTGCCAAATTGAACTTTCCATCTTTGCCTCTTAGAACAGTCCTGTCTCATCCCTGTAATCGATATTTGATGGCTATATGCAATCACCCTGAAAAAATATCATCAACTGGATAATATGTAAGTAGATACCTATACAAAAAGTGAGAAAGCTTCATTACACTCACATTTAGCCGCTTTCAAGGCCCCCTTGTTGGATTCCCTTCATATACTCCAGCATCACCTAGAATTTCATCCAGTTGATACCGCGGGGAATCAACATGCCATCTAACATAACTATAGATAAATCTTCTCATGATTTTCTTTATCTTTGCTGAACACCCATACTCCTCCATCCTCTGAATGTCTCTCTTTGACAAGTTGATGTACTGTTGCAATGCCTCGGCTCGCGAAACACCGCTGCTTTGACTATATAGTATAAACGCACTGGCAGGTTCATCACCAACAATACTTTCCTTATAGTAGGAAAGAACATCATTCGCATCGTTGGCATAGTCCACCATCATCCGGATCACGGGCATATTCTCTTTGGGCAAGATGCCATATTCACGAGGAAACAGCGCTAGCACAAAGAATAGCCCAAATCCTGAATCATCTCGTTGGTCTCGAAGAGAGTCGACTGGGAGTCCCTTTGATTGAGTCAAAAACCGCTGCTCTGCAAATGTACTGGCAATGAAAGCAAATGTCGCTTTCACCATCATCATATACGTATAATCATTGTAGTATTCCCTGAGCTGCAAAAGAATCGAAAATAGCCCTTGAAATCGGTCATCAGAAGGTGGTTCTCTGCTAACGAACTGCCGCACTGCCGCACTGCCTCGCTATACAAATCGGTTTCTTCAGGGTGGACCTCATCCACAGAAATAGCATATGCTGTCATATGGGAGCAAAGGAGACGTGTATCATATGGTAAATAACGAAAGATATAACTCGCATAGTGCCGGCCATATTGAGCCTAACGCTCGTCCACAGGCGTCGCCGCCAGAGGCAATGATTCATCAGAGGAATATTCTCCTTGATCATCACTATCCAAGACATTTAGGATAAATTCTTTTAAAGACTTTTCTGAATCATGTTCCATAATAAAGAAAAAGGATTAGTGATTATATACAAAGATATCTCACTTAAGAGTGAAAGAATATCTATGGATAATGGCTTATTCTTATACCCTCTTCATGATATTGTCATCTGCCTTTTGCCACAGGAAAGGTCTCACAACTATAATTAGTTTCCTATAATGACAACACTTCATAACATATCTAGTAATCTATATGACTCCTAAAGAATAGACATGTGGTCTGCAGTAAGCCTTAAGACCTTATAGACGTCACCTAAGATCACCTCCTCACATGAGTGTGATACATATATGGGATGAAGACAGGGGGGTATGAGGACAGACAATAGGACTGCTTGCTCTCACCGCCTGGGTCTTTTGCTTGTTACAGTATACCAGTGGCAAATAGGATAGGATAAGGATGATGCTGAGGCTGCCATGGTGTTTTTAAGAGCATAAAGATAGCATGGTTACTTCTCCTAACTTGGATCTTAGACCAACGCCTTTATGATTTAGACGAAGATAAAAGCAGCATGACATTACATGTTTAATCTTTACCATGATTTGCACTAGCCATTCACTCTTAATCTTTATCCCTACCTTATATCACAGGCTTGAGTAATAAGGACCAGAATACTTAACTTTACCCTATATGACGCATTCTTGCCCTCTTGTAGTAGTATGGTTTAATGAAATACTCTCCTTTGAGTGTAATAGCAGTCAAGTGAATATCAATATAGTTGTTAGAGTATTGGAGATGAATGGAATGTTGATTACCCTTCAAAATCAGAATATCTCCATATTGCCTCCACTCCCACCATTCAATCAACTAGAACATATGAATTTCTCTCGAGGCATGATACATCATCGGAGAGAGATGCATCTTCTTGCTCATATTCCGGATGGCTGGGCGCAGCTTTGTTGGCACTGATCTGATGGCGCTCTGCTCCATCCTCGTCTGGAGATGATGGCGCAAGGTGTAGCTGATGGCACCGGCAGTGATATGCGACCCTGCCTTGATCAGGTTCTGCATAAATGATGCCTCTTCTTCCTCTTCCGCTTCTTCATTGCCCTCCGTTCCTTGTTCCTTTCCCTCTCCTGAAGCCTCCCCATTGACCGTCTTCAAAAGCTCCGTCAGGTCTTGAAGGGCGCTCTCAAAGTTCATCTTGCTTTTGCTGAAGCAGTCGAGAAAGGCGCACATGTACTGCTTGTATTCCGCCATATACGTGTTCCAATGCTCGATGAGTCCCAGCTCAGGAATGCCGTCGTAGAATGAAAAGGCATCAGTTGCAATCCGACGGCCCTGGAAGTCATTGTTGGACCCAAGAGAAAGCTGGCATAGAAACCATGAAGCCCCGTCCACATCGGAGAAACGAGCCAGCACCCATTCGCCTGCCACGGCGTGTAGATCATCCTGCTGCACAAGGTCGAGGATGCGCTTCACCCTCTGCTTGCCGGGAGTGATCTTGTAGGGATCAATCTTGGATGGCGTCTCTGGCTCCTTCTCATCGGATGGTTCTGGTTGCTGATTCTTATTTTCTTTGTTTGGAACAAGGTAGTTGTTGATCACATCCGTCACATTCAGTTGGTCCTCGAGCATCTTCTTCTCGCAGGTGAACTCCAGGTACACCGAACTGAAGCCCGTCGAGATGGTGCACGAGCCTTCAATCATCTGTCCAGCGACTGCATTCCCTACCTTGGCTCTCAGGATGTCGCGATCGTTCATCTGCACGACGACCCGCTGGATATCGAATATTCCCCGGATGCCTGCCGAGCTCACAATGATAGGGTTGGGGCATACCATCCGCTGATTGATCTCGGGGTCAACCTTGGGTTGTTTGGCCATTACTGCAGGTGTTTTGTTCCCATCCTTGTGTTTAGAAGCCTTGTTGGGGGTTGATTCCTCGGCGGTGGTCGGTTGATTGATGTCGTCGATGAACTGGATGATATGTTCTCTCAGCCTGTCCCAGTCCGGCGCGCTCTTTTCCTTTGGTTTAATTAGATCCTGATCATTCTTGTTATTCTTTTGGAAATCTTTTCCTTCCTGCTCGATGATCTTCACTGCACCTGGAAGCTGGTTAGAAGGCTTTGTCTCGGTTTTGGCCTTCTTCCCAAATCCAAAGCGTGTGCTAGGTATGGATAGAGCTGGACTGGGAATCTCGATTGGACTTTTCAGTGAAAAGGCACTTTTCGTTCTTTCTGGCTTGGGAGGGATCTCGACTTCTTCGACCTTCTCTTGCGCCGACTTGAGCATGGGACTGATGCCTGGAAAGCTGTCCAGTCGAAACCCGGCCTTTGTCCTTGGATCTTCTTTCTCACTCTGCTTCTCCTGCTTATCAAATGCCTTTTGCTGCTTTGCGGTCTGACCAGTCTCAATGACGATTGCCTTTAAAGCGTGTCTGTGGCTCGAAAGCGACGTGAAATCTGCCTTGCTGATCGCTTTGGCGAGGAGTTGCAGCGTCTCATGGATGGGATAATGGCTCTCCAGGTCGTTGACCTTGACTGTCAACTGGATCAAACACTCGATGACTTTATGTGCTCTCCTGCTCTGCACCAACGGCTTGTTTTGAAGAAGCCGGACAATCCCTTGGTGGATTCTGGCCTGCTCTTCGAGGTGCGGGACGTCGAGTGGCTCCATGTACGCCTCGATGTTGGATGGGTAGAGCGAACGGCCTCGAATCGAGTTCCCGGAATATCGTCCACTCCAGTTGAAGACAGACACGTCGTTGGAGGCGATCACCACCTCGTCGATTAAACGACAGAGTGCCTTGGGGAGGCCCTCGGCGTAGAACACTGGGAAACGGACACCCAAGATACCCATGAGGGAGTACACCTGGTCGATGGGAACCGTCACTTCTCGCTGGGATGCCAGAGTCATGATGCTGCGGGCCGATGCGTTGACGTCTTGAGTACCGGGTCTCCAGGCGTCGAGTTTGTTGATGCCGCCAATCTTCTGGACCTCTTTGCAGTCGTTCACGATGCGTGGTTCGGTAGAGCTGACGACCCTGGCAAGCTTGCTGTTGATTTGTCTGACTTCGTTGGCAACCTCGTTCTCCTCTGCCTTCATTATCTGTCCTTGCACCTCCTGCTCTTCATCTCTTGTTGAGGTTTGGTTCTTTTTCTTGTCTTCCACAACCTGTTTTGCACGGAGGTATACCATCTTCCCAATCTGAGCCGAGGCTGTCCTATAGTCCATCTGCTGAGGCCACGTCCAGCTCTTGATATCTTCCATGCACTCCTCGGCTGCCTGGAAAGTCTCTCCCTGATCATTCTCGGCTTTCTCGTACTGCACAAGATGGTGGCTGAGATACTGTTTGATGAAAGGCACCCGGTGATAAACAGGACCAATGGTGTTAACAATCTCCCGATCCAATTCCTTCCAGTCGGCGTTGAAATAGAACGTCATCCGACTGAGCACCAGCTCTTGGAGTGTCCAGCCACGCTTGGCCCAGTAGACTGGATCCGACTTTATCAAATCGGACCAAGAGTCGATTGCTGTGTTCTCCTTTGGTGACAGCTGAAAAGGCCCGCCGACTGTTGAAGACAGTGCATCGTATTGATTCACAAGACCCTTGTACTCCTCAACCCATTCTTCGTCGCACGGCGCATCATCAACATGGACAATGCAAAAGTCGGCATTGGCATACCAGTCGCCCATACGAGCCAGAGACTCGTTCAACTCTCCGGCATTCGACTTGTCGATACAGCAGTTATCCAGCCAGATATACCGTCTGTCTGTGCTGGGGAAGTGTCCGCTGTTGTATATATTGTTCGCCTGCTTCAGGGACTGTCGCAGCTTGCGGGCTGATTTGCGAGTGTACAGCGTTGAGAGCAGCTCCTCAACGGCCATCTTGATATCGCGATGTATATTGAAGAACTCCCTGGCTTCTCCGCAGCCCTCCCACTCGGTCTGGGCATCATGCATCTTCCTGTTCGCATTGAATGCCTCCTTGGCCGCTTTTTCTCGAAGATTTGCGATGTTCTTCTGGACCTCTTGCACAGTAAAGGTGACGGCCCCTTCCTTGGTGTTTGCTTTGTCGCCGTTGCCCCTGCCGTACATCTTCTCATAGTGATTAGCCTTGGACTGGGCACTCGTGAGACGCTCTTGCGCTTTGGTATTGGATCTGAGGGCCTTCGCGCGCTCTCTCTCGCTCCCCTGCGTCTTCAAGTGCATCTCCAGAACAAGCTGCACATTGACCAGCTGTCCATCACACTTCAAGTCACCCTTCGCCTCCAGCAGCTTGTTCAGCTTCTTTACGGCCCTGATAGCCTCATCCTCGCTCATCTGGGAGACACGGCCGACGTCGCCTCCGTCCGGCGAGGATCCCTCCAAGTTCCTCTGGGCGCGCCTGAAAAAGTCGTAACTCACCTCCCACCCCTTCCAGCTGTGCGACAGGATGCAATACACATCACCCGGGCCATAGGTGGCTGTGGTTGGAACTAGATTTCCCGTGTCGAGGTCTATCATTCGCCCGGGGTGACTAGGATCTTCGCTCCCAGGGATGACCAGCCATTTCTGCGACTCATCCACCTGTTGGGCCTGCCAGTCGGCCATTCTTTTGTCGTTGAAGATGGGGAAATCAGAGTATGCAGTCGGGGAAACATAGTGGGCGAGGAACCGATTCAGCTTGTCTTTCAATTTTTCATCTTTGGTGAGGTTCTGCACCATTGCCTTGTACTCTCCTGTGGCAAACCCGAGAGTGCCTTGCACCTCTTTGCCAATCACCGAGCGTGTCACCTCCCCAGTGAACCGGCGGCCAACATCCAGGTTGTCCATGGTAAAAGAGTGGGTTGATGGTAGTAGATTTATTTCCGAGTCTTGATGGTACGAAGAGGACCAACTCGGGAACAGTGAGATCTTTTAAATCACTTAATATATATATTTATCTGCCTGTCTGCAGTGGGCATAAGCAGGTGGGGGAAGAAAGAGGGGTTACAGCATGCAGATTGACAGAGTACATCTGCATGTCTTGGTCTTCTTTCATTTAAATGTAAATATATATGGTTAAAACCACCTCATTTTCATCATCTTCCATTTTCCATTCAAGTTCAGTATCCATCTCAACGACTCGCCATGCTCTCCTATCATCGTGTCCTCCAGATCTTCGGCCGCTCGATTCGTGACAAAACTCTCGAGTGTGACTGGTGAGTGTTGGATATATATATCTATATTATAAAGACTAAGGTACTCCGTATAGTGATATTCATCCGTGGGAGATCATGATCGATGGCAAAACGTGGCCGGGGAAGATTCGCCTGATTGCCTTTGTCGATGTCTTTTTTGTCATCTCCTATGCAGCCAACGACGGTTTCATCAAGGGCATCATCATCTACAGTGAGCTATTTCTTGACATCTTAGTTCTGTGCAGGTGATTAATGTTCTAGAGGATCCAAAGGCTTTGGTGACCCTGAATGGAATGGGACCCAAACTTGAGAGGGATATTGATGCCAATGAGAAGAACGATAATAAGAGAAATGATAACGACAGCAACAAAGAGAATGACAGTGCAAAGACGAGCCAGGCAGAAAGCGACAAGGTTAGATGGGATGATGCCGATTCTGACTGGGATGAAGACGAACAAGGGGGGGAATCCGACTCTGATTCAGGCTTTGATAGTGAGGGTATGTGTACCTGAACCCTCCGTATAAGACATATCACTCACTGAACAGCAGATTCCGATTGGGACTTGGATGATGCCACCGAAGACAACAAAGAGAAGAAAGGTAAGGCTGGCTTCCCTGAGTACGGATGGCTTGTGTCACCTTACCAAGTACTCCGTAGCCGTGAAACTGTTCAAGTTCCGCGAACGCAGCATCTACACCGTCCAGAGCCTGGGCCATGAGATTGGGATGCGCGCGACGTACGCCACCACCGAAATCCGCAAATACACCGTCGAAATCACCCGGCCCTCTGGATGGGCTATGAGCAGTGAGTTGTCTTTCCCCGCTTCTTCTCTATCTACCTTTTTTTTCCCATCATCTGTTGATGTCCAGGACGCATGAAACGCGGGCTGAAGCAGCACGGAATCGGCCGTATGATCCAGGATGTGATTCAATGCGGCCTGATCACCAATGCCCAGTTCATTGGCCATATGACTGGCTGGTTGGTGACCGGTGGCCGCTGGAACGATACCCTACAGAAGACCTTCCAGGCCTTGGGGGGGGCCGATGCCGCGGGACGCCAGGCGCTATCGAACGAGAAGATTTAGTTTACAGGTCAAAGGCTTCGTGATGAGTTCCCTATTTGGTGTCAAGCAGCTCGGTTATGCACTCGTGCAAGCGCTGGTGGTAGGAAAAAGCAAATGCAGTGACTTGGCCGATTCTATTCCCTTTTAATTCGATGCAGCAGCAGCTGAATGAGACATGCGCCACTTAATCTACAAGCTTAGCGTGGGTGATGGCTGCATAAGTCATCCATACAGAGGACTCCTCTCAGCTCTCGGAATTTGAGGCTGGCTGAACCAGCAGTGATAAAGTTCTGTGTGACTTGTAGATGTAATTAAAACACGCATTAGGCATCGGATGACAAGACCTGTCTAGACACCTTACTATTGCATGAACTATGATCAGCTGTAAACTGGTGGGGTATATAGAATACCCCAATGATAATCTATAGATATTGACTATAGATGATGTAGAAACTATCAGAGTATATCAGAGTAATGAGACAAGATACATACCAGAGAAGGATAAATTGTATTATGTTCTATACCTATTTAATAGCTCTTGCCTGTTGACTAAATCCATCAGGATTAGGCGTCTTGTAGATGCTCAGGTAACAATCATAATATACCATCTATTGTTCAAGCACGTAATCATCCAGAATATGCGGATCCTGACAAAAGGCCGGGCTGGCGACAATCTCCCTAACCGGCGACACATCGCGCTCCACGATCCAATCCCCCCCATCAAGGGAGACTTGCAGAGTCCGAGCCATGAAGCCCATCAGACTGTGCAGCGCCGTCTGTCGGGTCTGGCGCTGTGCATCATGGAGGACTCGAAGGGCCTCGACAAAGACGGACGGCATGTAGTAGAGCACGACTGCCGGCTCATCCTCGCAGCCATCCGCATTCAACCCGTGGACAAGGGCGCTGCGAGTCGCATCAGGCAGAGAATAGAAGGCGTCTTGGAACTGCTCGGCCAGCAATGGATCCGCCACACGACCCATGGCCAACACGCGCAGCAAGGCCCGGTCGGACGGGCTATCAGTGGAAAGCGACGAGAAGCCCTTGGCTGCGAGCATCTGGCCACGGTTCTGCAGGACATGGTCGTACGCCTGGCGTAGTGAGGTGCGGCCGGCAATCACCTCCTCCAGTATGGGTAACGCCTGTAAGATGGAGCGACAGACTGGCTCGATCATGCTGACGGCGCCGCGGGCGTCCAGATGAGCGGCGGAACCGGCCACGTCGAACAGGATCTCCAGATACTTGAGATGAAAGGCCGACGGGTTGTCCTGGAAGCGCAGAATGCACTGCAGACTCCCTGGCACGTTCTCGCCTTGCATCAACTGTGGGATATTCAAGGTCGCGCCCACGTCGATGCCGAGGATGACATCGCGCCGCTGGGGGGCGGGTAGGATTCCCAAGGGGGCGTCGAGGAGACCGACGGCGACGGCGTGGGCAAGGAGCTCGTCGTGGTTGCGATTCCCTGGTTCTTTTCCTTCTCTCTTTGCTGCCACGTCGTCTTCCATCTGGGGGTCTTTTCCCATGTCGCCGACAATAAGAGCCACCACCAACGCCAGACACTGCTCGGGGTGGGCCAGGATGGGCTGTGCATAGGCCTGAAACGCGCAAAAGGTGTCCCGGGAGAGCCTGAGCGTGGGGGATTGACCGAGTGTCAGGGCATCATATTGATCGGCCAGCACCCAGCGAACTGCAAGAATGTTGGTGATGCTGCGGTTGACCTCACAAAAGTCCTCTCCAAACAGGAGACGCGATGGGGTCAGCCCCTCGGCACCCAGAGAGCCTCGGGGCGGCGAGCCGTCTCCTTCATGGCGGGGAGGGACACGCTTCAGGCGGTCGATTTCCGAGGCAAAGGCCTGATATAACAGCTGGATAAGAGATGCATCGTCGAGGGAGGGGAAGCTGCCGTTATTGATGATATTCACAAGAGATTCCATGATTGATTGAATAGTCAAGAAGGAAGAATAGGAGAGACTCTCAGCCCCACTGAAAAATATTTCAATACTAAATAGAACAGGATTTGTATTTTATCAAGTGGCAATATCTCTATAATTAATCTACTGATGAAGATAATTATATGATAGGCCAGAATAGAAGAATAGATTAATCTATCTCAATAGTGCGACAGTCGACTTGTGCTCCTCTACAGCCGCCCTCATCAGCCGGTCTTTACAGCCCACAGCGTCCCAGTCGATATTGTGGACGTTTCTCTTCGCCTCCGCCAGCCACTGATCCCAGGCATCAGAGATCGGAGCGGCGTCCGCGCGTCGCACCCATTTTGTGTCCCCCGCGTGGTGGATGGCGAGCCACAGGGCCTGCGTGAAGTTGGTAGCCCGTGTTGACGACTCTTCCTCGACCTCGTAGCGCGTGAGATCCCAGATATCGCGCGGCTCGACCAGCAGGGCGAGCAGCCAGTACATGGCGTTCAGCACGATGTAGGCGCTCCCCACGGCGATCTGCATCCTCCAGGTACAGCTGCCGAAGAGGATGACGGCGGCCATGAGCAGCAGGGTGCTCGTCGCCAGCAGACTGCGATGTCCGGTGCGATTGTAGCGGTAGCTGCAGTCGTCCTTGCCCGTGTACAGCTCACGACACACATACTCGTCGCAGTTGACCACGACAAAGGCGCCCCCGCGGGTGACCAGGACGACGTTGGCGGGCGGCACTTGGTTGCTCGCTGTGCGCTGCGCCAGCGAGGGCGACCACAGCGCAGACAGCGACGCCGCGCTGGTGGAACACGACATGGTCGCCAGCGCGAGCAGGGCCACGCCGTCGTGTAGGACCCCCGCGGCCACCAGCAGACCCGCCAGGATCAGCACCGACAGCCAGGTCACGATGTTGAGCCAGCAGAAGGGCTGGATGCGGATCGGCCGCCCACTGTCGCCCTGCTGGCCTGGTTTGTCCTGGCCTTCGACATCCCGGTGGTGGCGGATGTGACACACTTTGACCATGAAGCTCGGCAGACTCTCGACATTGTGGATGAGATCGGCAAAGTAGTTGAGCTCGCCCACCAGGTTGCCCGACTGGATGCCCACCACCCTGATGTTCTTGACGGCCGGCAGTCGGTGGCTGCGTTCGGTGCTGAGGAGGGACTCGGGCGCGGGCAGCAGCCGGGGGAAGGCGCTGAAGGGCGAGGCAGTGATCGCTGGGAGATGCTTTTCTAGGGCCGAGCCTCCGATCACAGCCAACAGGCCGACAATGTCGAACTGCCACTGGTTGGCTTCGGAGTCTATGGAGCGAGGGAACCAGCCCATTTTGATGACGATGGGGGGAGCAATATGGGGTGGTGGTGCAATCTATAAATCTCACTGGGTTTACATATGGACAGTAAAGTACGCTGTCCTATAACTACACCACTACTCCTTCTAGCAGGGATATCTTTCCTCTCCACGCTAGTCTTACAGACTCTGCAGTCTTGGAGGGGTACTTTGTACAGATGTGACACGTCAGTTTACTCTGTACAGGGACAACGCGGGAGCTGTTCAGCTAGCCATGGTGATCCCGGGGTGTTCGGAACAGGTGAGACATTAACCATCTGTTGCAGGGAAGGATGACCTTGAGGCTGCCAATCAGGATGATTCGTGTATATTTACACCGTCATTTAACTAGCTAAGCCTAATGTAGTTAGTGTTATACTCTGATTTTTTATTCACTTAATATATCTAGCCTAATTAATATTAGATATACTAGGTAAGGTGTAAATTATATAGGAATATAATATTATTAGCCCTAAATATATATAGGATTTATTAAAGTTATGAGCCTAATTAACTCTTAATTATTATTATATTTATCTATAAGCTTTAAAGACCTGCTAAAGATGTGGAACCACTATATTAATAATACCACTAAGTTAAAATAATATTTATAAACTTATACTATATATATAGACTACTAATATACTACTAATAAGCTAAAGATAATAAGTATTCTAGATAAGATATTAGATAATATAAAGATATTAGTCTTATTAAGGAATAGTATAGATTAGCATCTTTAGTATAAAGCCCTATAAATTATCATAGATTTATATAATATCTAGGATTATATTAATCTAGATAATAATATAGAACTAGAGCCACTAATAGCTCTAGATATTATAGACTATAATAAAGAGGTATAATTACCTAGAGACCTAAAGGAATACTAATTAATTATATATATTAAAGTTAATAAAAAGTATTACTATAAGTAAAAGAAATATAAATAGTTAAAGATAAGGATCTTTTATATCTTAAGTTATATATTTTAGTCTATATAAATTAATCTCTTAACTATTATAGCTAATAATAATATTATAAAGAGAATAATTAAGTAGTTATAAATATATCTAATATTAATAAAAATATATTATAAAGCTAAGCTAATAAATTAATAAAGAAATATTAATAATAAATATATATTAAAGACTAATCTAAATAAATAGTTAAACAGCTAGAAATCTATATATTATAACTATAAAGATATAAGGATTAAAGCTATTATAAATAAGATATAGCTAATACTATAGTTCTTAAGCTATATTAATTAACTTTATAAAGGCTATATATTAAATATAAAGTTAAAGCTTTTGTGATATTGCGAGCGAGCGATATTGTGAACTCCCGCGCGGCCATGAGCGGGATCACCTCGGCGGAACACCAAGGTGCCCGCTCACTGACGACGCGAAATCTCCTGACCCTGGTGGAGCAGTTATGTAGAGTTTTTGCTCCATACTAGGGATTAATCAATTCTATAGAGTTCTATCGCCACTAGGTCGCTTAGCTTTTAATGAGCTAAGGGGAGGTATATAGATACCTTCCCTCTAACCCATGGTAGCGATAGAATAGAGATTTCGGAGAGACCGTTAGCTTTTAAATATTATATCTAGTAGCATATCATATTAGGGGTTAGCCCCTGTGCCGACCCTGACAGACTGCCGCTCCGCGGACAATATCTAAGGATTAATAGAATTTAAAAGCAGGATAAAAGGGACGAAAGACCCCTTAAGTAAAGAAAGAAGAATTATTAAGCATCTTTACTAAAGAAACTAAGTAAATAAAAGACTTAATCTTCTGCTATAAGTTAACAATAAACCCTATTGGCAATGTGCAGAACCACCTGTTGCTTAAGGCGTTTAAAATCCTCTTGGTGATTGCAACCGCCAGGACGGATAAGATAGACGTTTACCCTCTTCTTAGATGCCTAGAGTAAGTGCTTTAAGGCGAAAGAGGCTAAGTAAATCATCTAGTCTAGGAACTTAAGACCGCCCGCGTGTAGGTGGCTTAACTCTAGGATAACCTCCATTAAGCGACCGCTGGGCAGCCGGGTCCCTAGAATAACACCTGAGTGGCCGCTGGGGAAACTGGCTATTAGGAGTCAATTAATAATCTTAATGATTGAGGTGGACGCCCCTATTAAAAGATCTTGGAACTTAACTAGATCCCTAAATATATAGGCGAATATTGAGATGAGGGCGCCCAAAAATGGCTGTAGTAAGTAGATAAATACTTTTAAGATAAAGAAGTCTTATATAAGAAGTTCGCCACTAATAGAGAGAAGGTCCTAGTGGCGAAATGGAAACTTAATGGCGAGGCGCGCGAATGATGGAGGTATTTATAGAGCTCTGTTGATAATAAGCTCCGCGCCCCTATTAAAACTATGGCGGAATTTAAGAAGTGGATTACTAATAACTATACTAAACACCTTAGTGAGGAACACTGCTGGGAGGCGTATAAGAGTCTTACTTAAGGAAAGCGACCCATTTAGGCGTATGCCCATGAACTGGTGAAAGTTGTAAACTAGATTAACCCCTTACTGGTAGAGAATGTACTTATCTGACGATTTATCATAGGCAGCTGAAAATAACTCTAAGGGTGGTGGGCGCGCGAATCTGATAAACTAACCACCTTAGCTAGGGTTGTTGTAAAATTCGCCCTCTATAAGAAAGGGGTTGTCGCCGCACAACATGTCTATAGGCTAATAGGAGCACTAGATGCCATAGATATTAACACCCTAGGGCAATTATATACCCTGCCTAGGAGGCCTACCCCTATAAACAGATATGTGCCGCACCCCTAATAATTGATCGCCAGCACGAGAGGACTCTGTTTTGTATATGGGAAACCTAGATATTATATAAAGGATTATTAACTAAGTAAAATCCTAATAATAACCCCCTTAATAAAGGCCCTAAGGGAGGGAAATAGAGTCAACCGCTAGAACTAGAAGTGCTGGCGGCATAAATACTTAAGGCTTCTGTAGTCCCTGATATTAACCTCCTTAATATCCTGGACCCCTAGGGATTACCACCCCCATGAGGAGATGAAAAGTGAAAAATATGAAAAAGGAAGTATAAACTAATAACCTAAATAATATTAGTATAAATAAATGCGCTAGGTGGAGGGCTGCTAATCTTTAGAGGGGAGATCAGCACTGGGGAATAAGGGAAATTAAAGGTTAAATATATGATTAATAGTGGAGCCTCTAACAACTTCGTGAGCAGTAGGGTACTTTAAAAACTCACCTGTGCCCCGCCCTAATAGATTAATAAGGGCACTCAGCTAGATGTGACGCTACTAAATAGTAATTATATTCTAGCTATATATTAAGTACGCCTCCTGCTACGCCTCGGCAGATGGATAAGAATAACCCCCACCTGGGTTATTGACAACCTTAAATATAACATTATCTTGGGATAGACATGGCTAAAAGCTACTGACCCTATTATTAAATGGTCAGAATTAAGGATGATTCTCTAGGACCACTAAGGCGAACAGTTCTCTATGCTCTTAAAGAATATTAAATAATAAGTTATAATTATGCCCTATATTAATATGATCTCAGCACAACATACACTATACATGCTATATAAGGCGAAATTAAAAGGTGTTCTTTATTTTCTTTAATGAACTACTGAGCTCCTAGACGGGCGCAAGCTATATATAAATCCTAAGGTGGAGGTAGTCCTCTAGAAGTATAATATCTTTTACTAAGAACTTGCGGCGGCCCTCCTGCCTAAATAAGATATTATATATAATATTAACATGGGCGACGCCATGCCTATTAATATTAGCCCTTTCTCTCTCTTATAAGAAAAGCTTAAGGAGCTGATTTAATAACTAGAGGACTTAAAGTAGAAGGGGCTTATTTGACCCTCTGCTAGTCCTTAAGGCTTCTTAGTGGTATTTATCTAAAAAGCAATAGGAGAGTGGTGAATGTGTATTGACTATTAAGCGCTAAATAATTTAATGGTTAAGAATGGCTACTTATTACCTTAAATCTAGGAGTTGCTGGATATGGTAAGCGGGAGCCAGGTAATGTTGAAGATTGATCTTCTATTAGGATATTAGCAGGTATAGATGGGAGATGACTTAGTTAAAAAAATAGTATTTAATATAGTGTTTAGCAAATTTAAATTCTTGGTCATACTATTTAGTCTCTGCAACGCACCGGCAACGTTCTAGATGATAATAAATTGCGTCTTGAGGAAGTATATTGGCTACTTTATAGTGGTATACCTCAATGACATCCTTATCTTCTTTAAGAATATTAATAAGTACTGCTGACACCTTAACCTGGTCCTCGCTGCCCTAAAAGAATATTAACTATATGCTAAAGTATTAAAATGTGAATTTGCCGTGGAGAAATTAGAGTTCTATAGATATGTCATTGAAAGGGGCTGGATATCACCTATGCCTGAGAAGGTTGAAGCAGTATTAAACTGGCTAAGGCCCCAGAATGTCTATGAGGTTTGCTAATTCCTAGGATTAGCTACTTACTACTGATGATTTATATAGGGGTTTATATATATCACTGCGCCCCTATATGACCTGCTGAAGGAATTAGACGCCGAATTGCGCATAAAGAAATTCTAACCTATTATATAGACCGCGTCATGCGAGGCTGCCTTTTAAGTAGTGAAGGAAGCCCTAGTAACCGCCCTAGTACTTTATCTGCTAGATTATAAGAAGGAGTTCTGCATTAAAATAGATGCCTTTAAGTAGGCTATTAGTATAGTTCTTCTATAGACGGCAGAAGATGGTGCTGACCACCCTATTATATTTAATAAATAAAAGCTATCTCCTGCAGAGTAAAACTACTTGACGTAGGAGAAAGAGCTGCTGGTAATAAAGGAGGCGCTATAAACTTAAGACTACTATATTAAAAATAGCACTATTATGACTGTTGTTATGGATTATAAGAGCTTATAGTATTTATTAACGACAAAGATATACTCTAAGAGACTTGCATGATGGATCAATAAGTTCAGCGGATATAATCTAAAGATTTGCTACTAGAAAGGGACTAAAGTAATTATCCCTAATACT